ACGCAGTACCCGCCGGGGGAAGCAGAGGAAGACCTCCACTCCGTTGGAAGGACCAAGTGGAGAAGGACCTGGCTTCACTTGGAATATCTAATTGGCGGCACGTAGCGAAAAGAAGAAACGACTGGCGCGCTGCTGTTAACTCGGCTATAATCGCGTAAGCGGTGTCTACGCCAATTAAGAAGAAGAAGAAGATGTTCATGAGTCATATTTTTTGAAATTCTTCGTTTTTTCCAATTGTATACAACGGGGTTAATGATCAGATTAGTAAAAAAAAATATTGTCACCAGAAGCCCGACTTTAATCTCTGTACCGACCAAATTTCATTTTTTCTAATAATCATCGCGCAGCTAAAAGTTTCCTACACCCACCATTGATGTTTGTAGGCTTATAGTAGTCTCATCAAAGCATTATGACGAAGTACTGTCATATGAGCACTAAAGGTCGTGAAGACAGATGTCCAAAAGGGTCTGCTGTAAACGAAAACATTAAAACAATTCACAAAATAAATTTGGATGCCAGCAAAATGAAGTTGATAGGAATCACTGCCATTCAAAGGATAATGAGTAATGATAAAAATATTTGGGATTGTAAAAGCTCTATGAAAAGTGGCCTCCGCGAGACGCCGATACAATGCTACCGCATACTGATATTTCTGAGCAGTATTTGATCAAATCGATAATTGCAAAATTTGGCTCCGATAACTGTTGCAGACATATCTCGACGGATTCTAATCTGAAACTTCTGGAGATGTGTCAAATGCCACGAAAAGAAAACCCCAACAGTTAACTAGCAAAGTAAAGTATTAAAATAGAATAATTTTTTGTTAAAAAGAAATGCTAAATCCAGAGGTCAAACGCTTGAAAAAAGTTTCGATATACTTACATATCAATAATATTCTCCGGATCTGAACACGTGACTTTTTTATGTTCTCACTGTGTATCACTCTTAATGGCAGCTACGTTGAACAATAAAATTAAATTTTTCTGAAGAAAATTATACCACCTTTGCAGCCTGCTTATAACAAAACCACTAATAATATTAGGTTAGGTTAGGTTAATCTGGAGTTCAGGTGTTAGGTAAATGAAACTTAGAGACTTTTAACAGACTCTGCGGACTCACCATCGATACCTGCTTCAGTGTATCAAACCCCAGATGCTTACAGCGTGGCCTTGCTTATGCGGCAGTGCATAAGAGATGCTACATTGTTTCCCTGGTGCCTTGTTGTAGACGTTTCCTGCATGGATCTGTCACCTCTATTCTGCGGGCGTGTGCCGTCACCAGACAGTAATTCCGACCATATTCCTACAGTCCCTTATATCGTGTGCCAATAGAAATTTTGTGTACTTCCGATATGCCGTTTTGCACCGTTTGTCAGGTAGATCGTTCCATCGGGTTTTGATTTTCTTTACCATACTTCTGTCCAGATCGTCGTATAGACAATGCACGGGTTTCCGAATGTTGATAACGTTTTCGGGTGTTAACCGAATGGTCTTGGCAATCTCGTCCACTATTTCATTACCTACGATGGCTTTGTGGCCTGGCCCCAGTAGAAGTAAAGTTCCTTGCCTCTGGCAATACTTTTCACTGCTACTTCCCAAAATACTTATGGCCGATATGTGATACGAGGTTACTGCCTTGACTGTTGCTTGGCTGTCTACGTAGAAGTTGACTTTGATATTGCCTGCAGGTGCATTAGAGGACATCTCCAGGGCTTTCGCAATAGCGAAAACCTCAGAAAAGTACTGCATTGGTCCGGGAACTTAAAAGGCTGTCTTATGCCTAACTCTGAGCAGTATATTCCCTCACCTACTCCATCATCCATTTTCAAGTCATCCGTATATACAATGTATGTTTAGAGTTTTGCGCATAGCTAACATACCTTTATGTTAACCATCTTTTTTCTTGTTTTCTTTGAACCTTATTTCCCAGCTGAAAAGTGGGTTATCGAGTATTCAAAAATGTGGAGCAAATTTTACACTTAATTCCGACATTTTTGCTTTCATCGCAATCAACCCATTTAAATATCTCTATACGAGCAATGTTTCGGATATTCGATTTCCATTCACCAAAAACTTATTATGTAGATACAATCGTAAATTAATTAATACACATTTTTGTTTAGATTCCAAAGATCTGAGTCCCGCTGACTTAACAGCAGACCAGCAGCATTTAGAGCGTGAAGATCATCGGCTTGAAGAGACTGATATTGAAATGGAAGAAGACACAGATACAAGAGAGGACGACAGTCGAATACTTGCTATAAATCCACATCGAATATCTCCGGATAGAAGAGAGGAAAGTGCACCGAGTCGTCCACCAAGTGTAGCCATATCAAATGGTTCAAATTCCCTAGACATATTTCACAATGTCAACGAGCATATTGTACACAAAATCGAACTAAATATAGAACGTGAAAAACTGAAAGATCTAAATGAAATTAGTATCGAATCAACTTCAATAAATTCAAACGACACACGTCCTGCCAGCAGCAGCCCACATAAGGAAGAACTGACCGGCAACGAGACACCACCGATGTCTTCACCAACAAACGTACTGCCAAAATTGCGCTTAAATGCGCTTTTGGCTTCAGATCCGGCTTTGAAACCGGATGCAAAAGACCTAAAAGTCTTACACGAAGAGACGCAAACGAAAAATCGACTCGCACAGCTACCACCGCCACCGGCGCTTACCAAGCAAGAAGACATGGACACTTTAATGAGTGCGCCAGTGGTTAATGTCGTGGAACCGGTGTTGAAAACGCCGTCAGTTGGCGCCTCATCATCACCAGCTGCTACAGCGGATATCCCACCACGCCTGAAATTGTTCATGTGCTTGCCCTGTGGCATACATTTCAGCTCACCCTCAACACTGGAAGCGCATCAGGCCTACTACTGCTCGCATCGGTAAGTAAACAAACTGAACGAGAAGGGACAATGAAGTTAATAAACACTTCTTTCGTTGTTGCAGTAATAAAGACATGGAGTCTGATGGAGCTTCGCTGTCCACAGTTATTACCGAAAAAACTGGCACATTAACTTCTAACGCGCCCAACGCTTCTAGTGGTACCATCAATATCGGCGCTGGTAATAACGGTAGCGAACACGTTCCCAAAGCCCTCAAGACGGGGAAACAATATGCATGTACACAATGCTCTTACAGCGCCGACAAGAAGGTCTCCCTCAATCGGCACATGCGCATGCATCAAACATCGCCCGCGCATAGTAGCAGCGCGCCACCATCAAACGGCGCCGCCGCATTAGAAGAGGGTGGTTCTAGTCAAGTGAGTCAGTTGTTGGTTGATAGTGCCATTGATCTAGCCTAAGTCCAAAAACTTGTTGAACGTTCGAAGAAATGCTTCATAATCTTAAAAATTTATATGTTTCAGCAAACGGATCGTTACTGCAGCGATTGTGATATTAGATTCAATAATGTAAAGACGTATCGCGCACACAAGTTGCATTACTGCAGTTCACGCCGCAATGAGGGGTAAGAAGGCCGCAACGTTTTTAATTAAAAATACTCCAAATGTTCTCTTCCATACTACAGACAACTAACACCAAAGCTGGAAGTAAGCACCGCTAATGTAATTAAACCACCGGTAGGTGCGGCTGCCATCAGCCCTCAGACGCGCACAAAGACGCCGACGCCAGCTATGGTGGCCGCTGCCGCTGCGGCAGCTGCTGCTGCAGCCGCGTCGTTGCAAGCATCACCGCCACAACCATTTCTGGCTTTACCCACCAATCCAATATTGATAATTCCCTGTTCGTTAATACGAGCGGCGAGCTGGATACCGGGACCACTGTAAGTAATGCTTAACTTAATTTCCAATTGTACAAGCACTACATATAATATGGGGGACTCTATGAAAGGTACTAAATCTCGTTTCTATTAAATATTGCTCCTTCAGCTCATCAGCATCGACGTCCATTTCAAACCCTGACACCACCTGCTATATGTTGGACAACGGTAACTTGAAGCCATTAGCTACCGCTTTCAATATGGGTGGATTAAATGCCAATACTGCAGCGAATAATAATAACGCAGCTGCAAGCGCAAATATTCCACAAATGCCAACGGTCGAAACACCGCCGGTTCGTCAACCTTCGCAACCCAATAACAGCGACGTGCTTCCTGTAGAGAAAAATACTGGACGTAGTAGCGACCGCAGTGAGACCTCAACGCCAAAGCGAAAAGATGGTGCGCGGTAAGTACAGTGTATTTAAGAAGTAAACCTTTAAGATTCTGAAATCTTAGCCACTCGAATACCGTATATTTCCTAGACTATAGTATGAGCATTCCAAAGCAAGATCCTTTACAAATCTAACAGCATAGATTTATGTTGATATGAAGTCAAATTATACAGCGGTAGTTCTTCTAAGCACCTGAAGAATCATAGCTGGAAAATCCTCAAAATTTACCAAATGGTCGAAGTACTCCGTTAATTCGAAAGATAGGTAGGTAGATAGGAGTGCAGCTCAATTAGCACTTGATGTGCCATTTTGATACACTATTCGTAAAACCTGTATCTGCTATTGCGTTTCACCTTCTCTCTCAAACCATTTTGAGGTTTCGATGAAACTACTTATGTCAGATAAGCTTTTAGTGGAAATCCATTCAAGGTTTGGTGCTTGGTGGACTCCAAGTGTTTTGTGTCGTATCTGTGCTAGAGCTGGGTATTCACAAAGAAAGTGGAAGATTGTTTCCTTGTTCCCTGCTACTCCGCAGTCACGGCAAATGTCGTTGTAAGGCATACCCATTTTGGAAGCGTGTTCCCCAAATGGCCAGTGCCCTGTTGTGGTAGCTGTTACTCTGTAGATGCTTTTTCTTGACCTATTTTATAAGTCGTTGGTTCTTTTCCTGTCATATGTTGTTTAGTTATGACGCATTTTGTTATGTTTTTCCACCTGTTGTTTGCAACTTGTTGAAATTGTCTATTGATCTCTAGATGGTACCCTCACCTGGAAGTGTCTATTGAAGTCCAGATTTGAGAATGTAGTCTGATTTATTAATGGTGAGCTTGTTTAGGATTACACTATGTCCGTAGTTCTGCTGATTCCAACCTCCCAATTCCTTTATTCTTATCGCCGCAATAGCTACTATTTTGTGAACAAAAATGTCCATTGGTTGTTGGTGCAGAATCACATTGAGCGCATCAGTCGGACATGACCTGATTGCACCAGCAACACCAGCATATCTTTGTGTACCATTTAGTTTTTATACTCTCGCAACAAAGTTGCTAAAGAGAGTATTATAGTTTTGTTCACATAACGGTTGTTTGTAAGTCCTAAAACTAAAAGAGTCAGATATAGGGTTATATATACCAAAGTGATCAGGGTGACGAGTAGAGTTGAAATCCGGATGTCTGTCTGTACGTCCGTCCGTCTGTCCGTCCGTCCGTGCAAGCTGTAACTTGAGTAAAAATTGAGATATCATTATGAAACTTGGTACACGTATTTCTTGGCTCCATAAGAAGGTTAGGTTCGAAGATGGGCAAAATGGGCCCACTGCCACGCCCACAAAATGGCGGAAACCGAAAACCTATAAAGTGTCATAACTAATCTGTAAATAAAGATATTAAAATGAAATTTGGCACAAAGGATCGCATTGGGAAGGGGCATATTTGGACGTAACTTTTTTGAAAAAGTGGGCATGGCCCCGCCCCCTACTAACTTTTTTGTACATATCTCGAAAACTACTATAGCTATGTCAACCAAACTCTACCGGGTCGTTTCTTTTAGGCATTTCCATATACAGTTCAAAAATGGAAGAAATTGGATAATAACCACGCCCACCTCCCATACAAAGTTTTTGTTGAAAATCACTAAAAGTGCGTTAATCGACTAACAAAAAACGTCAGAAACACTAAATTTTACGGTAGAAATGTCAGAAGGAAGCTGCATCCAGGCTTTTTTTTAAAATTGAAAATGAGCGTGGCTTCACCCACTTATGGACCAAAAACCATATCTCAGGAAGTACTCGACCGATTTCAATGAAATTCGACCTCTTCCGTGTCGTCTTCGTCAGCCACTTTGTCGCCTTAGAAAAATTTTAATCTGGCTTTTCGAATTTCGAAGCTGATTTTGTAGTCAGTATGGACTCATCGGAAATGGACACCAGTATTGGTCTGCTTGCTTTATTGCTGTTGGCCTCAATTTGGTTATTGTAGTTGTTTTTTTTTTTATTGTTTCCGTTCATATTTGGTCCCACGAGTAAGCCGGAAAGGGTTTCTCCCTCGTCCGCAGAGCCGGTATGCGGAGAGAAGGCTTTTATAAATCCGACCTCGCCCGGGCATCGGAGGGGACCGTTCGCGATCAGCTATTTATTACTCCCCGCTGACCATTCAGCCCTCTGCCCGGGTACCTGGACACCTTGGCTTAGAGGGGTGTTGGTACAGGTATCCTCATACTTCTACAATAGGAGATGGGCATAAAACCTAGGGTTTATTCGTCCTTATCATTCTTGTGGGAATTATGCGGTATCCTTCTTAGTTCGTAAGATTAGAGTACATTTCCTTTGAGATGCATACTTTATTCTTACTTAAGCCCGTTCGCCACGACAAGGCGACCAACTTCAAAGAGGATTCGAAAGATAGAGTGGTGAGCTAATTTGACCAATATAATATTCTTTTACTAGAGTTATCGGTTCTAAATATATTTAACTAAAAACCTCCTCAAAACCAATTCTTAGTATGTATATCGGTTTGATTCTCTCGTTTGCAACAGTGAGTCCGCACCATTGGACCTCTCGCTACGCCGTTCACCTCCCTCTTATGTCAGCCTGCAACGACAGCGAGTTCACTCGGCTTCCTCCTATGCAGATCATGATCAGCAACGTATGGATATGGAAACTCTACTGGAGGCAAGTAAGGAGAACTTGTCAATGGATGAAAGTGGCACAATGACACCCGAACAGATTGTATGCGCGCCCTCATTACCAAACAGTCCATCGATGAGTCCATCGCCAAAACGACGTGCAATAAGTCCACGTAGTTCGGGTGCCGGCAGCACATCTTCAATGTCACCACCTGTAAATGTTTCGACTGCATCGCTGGTGGCAGCTGCCGCCGCCAGCAACATGCTTGATCTACCACTGCGTTCAATGTTACCCGCCGATCTAGCGTTGAAACTCTCCGAAACCAATATAATGAATCCATTGCTAGCCAAACAAAACTTCGAACTCGCTTTAAAGCTCTCGGCGGCCGCTGCAGCTGCAGTAAACAACAGCACATCAGCTAATGTGGGTAATGGTTCGACTCACGCTGAGTTGACTGCAGCGGCGGTTGCTGCTGCCACAGCAAAGTCTTCGCTACTCGGCATGCCGGTTTTAAGCAACCCCACCTCGGCCGGTAATAGCGGTAACGTAGGTGGTGGACCCAACGCAGCTGTGCAACCGCAAATTTATGTCAAACAGGGTGTTTCCAAATGCAAGGAGTGCAACATTGTCTTCTGCAAGTACGAAAACTATCTGGCACACAAGCAACACTACTGTTCGGCACGCAATCAGGAGGTTGGCGAAGGTGAAGCCAAAGTGGCGAACACGTCGCCTCTTGGGGTCGGTGCAGCCGCGAGTGTTGAAACGACACCGGTCGCCTATCAGCAACTAATTTGTGCGGCCTGCGGCATCAAATACACATCATTGGACAATTTGCGTGCTCATCAAAATTACTACTGCCCCAAGGGGGGTGGCACAGCAGGCGCAGCAGCCGTTGCAGCTGCAGCTGCGACAGCCGAAACTGGACAGGTAAGACGAGGTTATGGATGTATTATGTGAATTTGATTTTTTATAGTTTCGTTTCGAATTATAGTTGCCTCTTACTAAGGAAAAATGTGGCAAATGCAAGACAATCCATGAAATTGGTTTGCCATGCCCACCGCCGCCCGCACTGCAACAAACGCAAAGCAGCGCACAGCACATCGCAGCGACATCGACCCTTTCGGCACCCAATCAAAATATGTATAAATGTCCCGTTTGTGATGTTGTTAGTCTGACAGCCACCGAAAATAGGAAGCACATGGAGACACATGGCACCGTTAAGGCATTTCGCTGTAGCATTTGCCGCTACAAAGGCAACACTTTACGGTAAAGAGACTTTACACATTGCTATTTAGGATTGGATGTTGAATGTTATGTACTTTCTTTTTCAGTGGAATGCGCACGCATATCCGCATGCATTTCGACAAGAAAGCCACCGACCTCAATGAGGAGCACTACATGTCCTGCATCCTGGAAGATGAGGGCTTGGAAATTCCTAGCATAGCGTCTACACTGAATCAGGAACAATTGGCGCAGCAAATAGCCGCTATGCAACAGCAGCAACATCAGTTGCAGCTGCAAGCTCAGCAGCAGCAGCAGCAGCACCAACAACAACAACAAATATTCAATTGCGATTTATGCAACTACTCATCTTCCTATAAGGGCAACGTGGTAAGTTTGAGACGGTTACCCTATTAATTTCCATCAATTACCATAAGTGTATATAAAATTTTAATTTTTTGATTACTTCTTCTAGCTACGCCACATGAAACTGGTGCATCCTCACATCAACATTCATTCACCATCAATTTCACCTGAAGCCAATGATCTGGAAACTGCCGATGCAGCTGGTTTGAATGGAGAGAGTGGGTAAGTAGTCGGATTTTTATTATAAGTTTCGAATTTACTTTTCTCATCGATCTCTTTACCCATCTTCTATGCCCAATGATTGTTGAAAATAAGATGAATGAAAACAGACGTCTTTTACACAAAGAATTTGTTTAAATTAACCGCTTTTTCGAATGCGATCTTGGCTTAGCCTAGAAAATGTAAATTTTTTTATAAATTGCAATTTATTTCTAAACATTGTTTCGTTTTAACTTGATACTTTGAAAAATACGTTTACTGCAAGCCTACTAATTGCATGTAGGTAAACTCCACCAACTTGACCATGATGATGAAAGAGATGAAAAAGGGGACGTCGTCTTGGTAGAAGAACCCCTTTTCTCCTACAAATTGACCCAAAATTCGCCAATGCATTCCTGTGACTGTTGTGTCCTTCTCCAGGTAGTCAATACATTGCACCTTACGAGTACCGGAAAACGGAGATCACCAACCATCGGCAGTCTGCCGTTTCCGGTGAACCTAGGAAGGCGACTCAATAACCTACATTTGAATTTATTTACGCATACAAAAGGACCTTAATTTGAAACACAGAAGTGCTACCAATCTCCTATCCTTGTTAGGTACGATAAAAATAAACAGATTTTTCGAATAATCCCACATCGACAACTACAGACACGAGTCCGTTGCGATGTCAAGAACTTCTAGATATTGATCAAAAAGACCATACACAATTTTATTGAGTTGGATAATATTAATCGAAGCCGATTCGCTGGTTTCGAGAAAGTGTGCGGCCGATGTGCTTCCTACTTAGTACGCCGACATCTCGGCAGTGAAAGAGAAAGTGTTTAGACGTTTCCACCTCATCTTTCTCTTCGACTTTAATAAGTTGCATCCCACGAAACCTTTAGCCACCTGTCATTGCGGCGATATGAATATCCTTTTTTCTTATTTAACTGTAATTAATATATTTATTTATTTTTAGCAATTTCACCATAAAAAGCGAGCCAATGGATCAAGCGAATTCGGCACGATTGCTGGACAATAACAACACAACAATATTGGCTGCCACCTTGACAGCACCACCACCGCTGAACAGTCTCGGCCCCGAGCAAATGCCACATATTAAAACTGAACCCCTGGACGTCGGAGGCGACAGCCAACCACCAACCACACCACTACCAGCGCTCAGCTCACCCGCTATTGGACCACCACCACCGCTCAACGCTGCCACCGACGACAATGCCACAGTAGCGGCAAATCAAAAATATTGTCAAACATGTGATATTTCCTTCAACTACATGAAGACTTATGTGGCACACAAGCAATACTATTGCAAGAGTAAATTACGACGCCCGGAGGCCAACGAAAGTCCCAGCCCCAACGCTGGACTCATGCCAATGTCAGTGGCGTCGCCGAACTCGTTGCTACTATTGCAGAAGAACAAAGAAAATCTGCAGCAGGAGGCAGCCATTTGATAGAATGAAATGTGGCGGGCACGCAAGCAATGGGAGTGGTACTACAAATGCTTTTAAAGCACGATTAGGCAGAGAAAAAGAGCAACGGAATTGCGAAATGGAAACAGTTATGCACAAAACGTACAGTATTCGACTGGAATCTCTGTAGATGAAAATACTTGAAAATATTATATAGTAGATATGTATTCAATAATGACTTCGGATAATCAAATAGAAAAGCTTAAATATGTAGAGAGTAAAGAAAAAACTTGAAAGCTTTTTCCATCGTGTAATGAAAATAAATAATAAAGTAATTATAAGTATTTTCCTAACTTTATCGATTTAATCACGACTTATTATGTATGCCAAAGTTAATTATTAAAGCTAGGGAAATAATTGAAAATAAATAATGCTAATAGTACTTACTTATGTAATATATGTACATATATAAAGCTAAAAACGTACGAAAGGTCTTCGCCTGTATATTCGAATGTCTTAAATATAAATATATACATATTATATATGTACATACATACATACATGTAGGTACATATGTAAACATGTGGTGTTGAAATACTTGGAAAATGCAATTTTTCAAAATAGCTTAGTTCTAGAAATATTTATTTGTATATTTGTTGTAATTATTGTAATTCTTCTCCAGAAAATTAAAAAAAAAAATTCGTAAAAATACTGATAAAACCCTTCCATAAACATAAATATGTACATATGAAGCTCTAATTATTTTTCAAGATTATTAATAATATTATAATATAATTATAATGGTTCAAGCATCTCTCACGCAGCGAATTGCTCATCATAAGCGTACACAGGGGCCATGTGCGCGGGTGCAATAGGTATTTAGATACATAATATACATATATAATATATACAATGTATAAGTAAGCACATAAACTTAGGTACAAGACAATAATTATTTATTTCAAATATATACATACATACATATGCATATGTATGCAAATTCAACTAAGTAGCTATCTCAACCTAATTATGCATAAATATGTATTAATATTCCCATTTAATTTATCTACTTACATATGTATATGTGTATGTTTGTATGTGTGTGTAAGCATTTATATATGCTTGCTTATATTCATACATACATCCAAGCGTGTATATGTACGGTGGACAAAACTTAGAAAATAATAAAGTGTATCGATATAAATAAATAAAAGCAGTTTCATTTAAATGTAATAATAAGTCTGTATTTATATAAATACTAGATGACCCGTCCACGCTTCACTGCGGCTGACACGTAGATAATACTACTACTACCATCTATATGATTTCTATTAGTTATATTATAATTATTAGTTAACGAGATACTGATAATATTTTTGTGAAGCAACTTGTGTTAGCTTACAAAAAATGGATCATAAACCATTTCGTGTGTTAATAAAGCATTGACATAAAGAGATAAACCATTTTTCACTTAGCCGTTCTTGACTTATAAATGGTGTAACTAAGAACAAATTTATTATATATATATATGTAGATGTGAGGTTGGTTTTTTTTATTATTTTTCAAGTGATTCCTACAAACGTGAATTGTGAACAAATGCTTATGATTTGAAATATAATTTTTTGTATTTATGAGTTTATTAAATTTTGACGAGTACACACTAAACACGGGAGTAGATAATAAGAGACGTTCTAAGGCACTTAACACGTTCCCGTTTCTACACAGCCGTTCGTTATCCCTTAGAAATTAACATGAGCCACCAATATTGCCTTCCTGAGAGGAGTTGAATAGGAGTTAAGTAAACAAAGACACAGAGATAAATATATATGTAAACAGAGGGATCCAAGATACTAAAATCATCTTCTGACTCCAGATACTGAAGTTACCTCTAAGCAGAGATCAGAGAGCCTTCTTGTTCTGACAAAGTTGGACTTAAAGCAGGAAATATATATTACAAGATTGCGGAAATCCTATACCAAACTTGAGTGAGTTTGAAGAGACATGCGAAGTTGTAGTTAGTGGTCGCCAGTCTATGCAAGTAAAACTTTAACCTAATAAAATGCGGTCCTCAGCAATACTTGCCTGATCGGCAGCAATGTTTTCATTATTATGAGCAGTTCTTCGTCTTATTGGCACTTTCACAATTTAATATTTTATGTACAGTAACTGTACGCTTAAAAATTTCAATAATTCAACGAAGAGCGAGCACAGGCGCACGATTATTAGGGTCATAAACGGTGGAGAACGATTATTTGAATAATAAAATTTATTAATAATAATAATAAGACACTTAGAAATCATATCATCCATATTGGAAAGCACGGTATATATTATAAATTAAGGAAAACTGGAGAGTAGCGGTTATGTCCAGAAAGAAGTGTTGCGAGTCAATAGAACTTTTTTAAGACATAATTAATGAGGTAGGTTAAAGGGTTATATACAGTTAGAAGGCCGGAGAAGCAGAATTTTCTGAGATAACTTTCAAATTTATTGATCCAAAAATGTCTACACATATTATGGTATCTTTTAACTGTAATTTAAGACTTAATTTAGTAAAAATATTTATTTGGAATAGAACGACAGCTTCTCTCCGGGAGCTCTCTAAAAAAACACGTCCTGCGGAGATTACTATTCTCCGAAATTAAAAAAAAACCAAACCGATTTTATTAAAGTAATGTTAAATCTAGTAATTAATCGATGGCTGTTTCGGCCTTAAAATGTTTATCGGTGAGAAAAAAAAAAAACAATTAATTACTAAAAAATATATTTCGTGTTAAAATGGAGATTGATTGGTTTAGCCGTTTTCGACTAATGTTGGTCATCGACTTTGAAAACATTAAGAAAAAAAATTAAACAAATCGGTTTTTTTTTAATTCTAACCATATATAATATATTGCTATGCTGACATGCATCGTGTTCTATTGCTTAGTGTGGCTTCGCTTCACTCACACCACATCTTCCAATTCCTGTGTGTCACGAAATACACTTGGAATAAGCGATGTGTTAATTGTGCATCGTTATTCCGATTAATTTACCCCTTTCACTTGTAATCGCTGCTCTTTCGAGAATCAAGTGCTCTGGTATCTCCGCCACAAAAAGTCCAGAAGTTTGTCAGAACCGCCGATATCGGATAACCATATACATATGTATTTAACTCTCATTCAAACTGAACGATCAAAACCAAGCCCTGTATGGTATTTTTTTTTATACCCTGAACAGGGTATATTAAGTTTGTCACGAAGTTTGTAACACCCAGAAGGAAGGGTCGGAGACCCTATAAAGTATATATATAAATGATCAGTATGTCGAGCTGAGTCGATTTAGAGATGTCCGTCTGTCCATCTGTCTGTATATATACGAACTAGTCCCTCAATTTTTAAGATATCGTTTTGAAATTTTGCAAACGTCATTTTCTCTTCAAGAAGCTGCTCATTTGTCGGAACTGCCGATATCGGACCACTATAACATATAGCTGCCATACAAACTGAACGATCGGAATCAAGTTCTTGTATGGAAAACTTTCATATTTGACAAGATATATTCACGAAATTTGGTATAGATAATTTCCTGAGCCAACAATGTAATCTCCGAAGAAATTGTTTAGATCGGTTAACTATAGCATATAGCTGCCATACAAACTGAACGATCGGAATCAAGTTCTTGTATGGAAAACTTTCACATTTGACAAGATATATTCACGAAATTTGGTATAGATAATTTCCTGAGCCAACAATGTAATCTCCGAAGAAATTGTTTAGATCGGTTAACTATAGCATATAGCTGCCATACAAACTGAACAATCGGAATCAAGTTCAGGTATGGGAAACTTTCACATTTGACGTGGTATCTTCACGAAATTTGACATGGATTACTCCTTAAGGTAATAATATAATCTCCGAAAAAATTTTCAGATCGGATTACTATAGCTTTCATACAAACTGAACACATAATTACTAACAAAAATGCACCTGTGAAGGGTATTTAGCTTCGGTGCAACTGAAGTTAACGTTTTTTCTTGTTTTTATTTAACAAGATATGTACATATCTTCTTGAAAAAGACCGAAGGCTATGCTTGGGCACTTAGAGTTCGATTCGGCTAGGTATAGTAAAGCAATTCCAGTTAGCTCTGTCACAATTAGCTAAAAGTTGGGTTAACCACGGAATTACAGTCGACACAAGTATAGGTAAACGGTCTGATGCTAGAGGCAGTGTGGGTAAGTATTTATCAGGTAACCAAGTCAGTTAGCCATGATCTCAAAGACAACCCCTAAATATTACAGCAACATACACACATACATACATTTATACATATATAATACCAGCAACGCTACTAAAACAACAAATATGTGTATCCATGGAGCACCTTACGAATGTATTTTTGCTGTATGAAGATAGGATGACTAATATCCCAACACTCTGAAATTTGTATTACTTCATTACTGCACACATGCATACCTATTTAACAAAGCAAAATATGGAAGTATGTATGTGAGAAAAGTGGAAATTGAAGACCCAAATATATGTCTGTATATTCTTCCCGATATTCTAAATAGCAATAAAATTTTAACTTTCATTTCAATAAAACATGCATATGTACCTACTTATATAATATTTATATACATATATTTAGAAAATAAGTGTGTAAGTATGTATATATATTGAGGTTATACGTACCAAAAAGTGAGGTTAGTTAGCAGTACTAGTATCCACATGCCTGCTGTTGTTGTGACGATAACTAAAGTAATTAATAATCCTACCGAGTTAACAATCCTTTGTCGAATCAAACGACGGGTCTCTTCCGAAAAAACCCGACTGTTGTGGAAGCAGTACTACATTCCAAATAAGTCTTGCAACCCAACAGCAAAATTATTATGGTAACTTTTACCATGTATTTCAACGGTTTGAGTTCGTTGCCAGTTGCCAATTTTCCTTCAAACTTCTTCAAAAAGTCCAAACCAAAATAAATCACAAAACTATATAGAATTATCTTATATTGAAGATTCTCAACATATCCTTGCTTTCAAAGTCAAACCAAAGTAAAACCAAACATTTATTTTTAAATCAAATGTATTTACTATTTATTTGTAGAAAATTAAACCTTCTTCCCTAGTGTTATTAATCAGAAAAACCGAAAAGTTCTCGCATAATTTGTGCACTTAATTATATGCATTGAGATTGTACAAAAAAAAAAAAAAAAAAATTGAAAAAAAGTGTCAGAAACATTAAGCAATAAGAATAAAACATAACTACGCTGAGATGCAGCCCACTTGCGAGTTTCACATCTTTACATTTCTGTTTATTTATATACTTTAAATTCATGTGTAAATACATTAGATTTATTTCATTAAAAAGTAGGAGCATATATGTATATAGACAAATACAGTAATAATTTAAATAATTAGTTTGTCCCCGAAGTATTGGAGAACACTAGCATTATAGCATTTTCGAAAATGCTTCAAATCACCGTTTACGTCTAAACGCAGTACAAGCGTGCATTTCTACTATTCGCACGCCGTTTTGACTACGCTCCTCTGTTTTTACCCTTATTTCTCGTCTCCTATCTACTAATATATGTTTTTATGTATGTGCGAAATGCAACTTATTCGTCCTTCTATTCAGTGGCAGCCATTGCACGTGCCTGTGCCCGTACACGTTTTTCATACTCTAAACGATTTTGACAATAGATTGTGTATGCTTCTGCTTGCGCTGGATCCTTAATGTTCGGTTCATTTAGCAAATCTTGAATGCCCAGCAATATCTGTTTAATGGTAATGGCGGGGCGCCAATCTTTCTCCTCATCCAACAATGACAAACAAACCGTACCAGACGGATACACGTTAGGATGGAATAGTGGCGGTTCGAATTTACATTTTGGTGGCGATGTGGGGTAGTCATCTTTGAAGATCATACGTAGTTTGTAGAGACCACCTTCCCATGCGGTGCCCTTCTTACCGGGAATCGCACATTCCCAAATCATAAGGTTGAGAGTGCCATCTGGATTTTTGGCTGGACGAGCGACAAAACCGAATGGGTGATCCTTTCGCCAAGCTTTACGTTCTTCCCCTAAGCGTGTAATTGCTATTCCTGACATTTTGTTAGCGAATTTTTATTTGCACTCTTTATAATAAAAATGAGTCTCCTTCGTTCGCTTTTGTTCTATTCTCTTCTACACCCGAACGAACACACGATTTTCCCCTCGGCAATGTTGAAATGAAATTGTCTTTCCCAAGATCTCTAGATTTCGAAAGAATATGGTAAACACATATAAACAACAACAGAAAATCACAACATCTCACATTTTCTTTATAATATTGAGTTCCTGTTTTATCTTGCACGCGGATTTTGGAGTTTTTGCACAAAACTTTCCCAATTTAACCGCTTAATTCATGCGTTGAAGAAGAAATGTCGTTGTATGCGTATTGGCGACTGTCAAACATGACAGCTGCAAGAAAAACTACAAGAAAACGCTGAATATATGGCGTCATTGTAGAGCTGCATTCAAAGCCATACGGTATAATCAGAGAACATAGAATTTCAACTTTCATATATTAGTCCATTATTTTAATATATTTGGAAAAGGTAATTGTCTAACTTTGTAATAGAGGATCTCCTTTTTAAATAACATACTTACTTAAATATTTATCAAAAACTAAATTGTCATATACATTTTTCATGTAAAATATAAGTACGGATAAAAATAATATTCAGATTTTCATGATGCTGATTGCTATTTTCTTTTGGGGAATAGAATTTTTAAAAAGTTAATGCCAAATTTGAGCAAATGGTGAAAATACCCATTTGGTGTTCTTGATCTCTGCCAGAGATTCTATAGAGCATCAAATAATATTCGATCCGGAACTTCTAAATGTTTTCATTTTCCACTACGAAAGTACTAACTAAGGCATTAGTCATATCCACAATTTCAGAGCCAATGTAATAAAACCTGTCATTTCAGATTTCGCGTTTTAGAATTCATATGTATAGGTATAGGTATATACATATGTAAGTCAAGATCCTTTTTAAAAAAATAAACAAAGCATTATAAAGATTTTTCACAAAAGTATTACTATATCTGAATTATGCTGCACTTTTTATTTACGTTTATTAATATTAGCTTTATTTATTCTATTGTGGGTATAGGTAACAACAATAGTTAGAATTATGTTATATTTTATATATCCCGAATAAACGTTGCCTTTTTTTATAAATTATTATCAATATTATTTTTTTAAAGATCACCAAATTTTTCTTCCCCATGAAACATAGCCAAAAGCCGTCATTTAGCACTATTGACAATCAATTGACAGCGGTTGTCAATAGTTTTCACAAGATGTCGTCTAGTCGAGTAGTTACGCACATTTTCCCAATTTGTTTTTAATTTAATTTCACATTTATTGTTATTTATTTGCAACGAAAAGTGCTGAAAAACTTAGATATTAAACAGGACGAGTGATTTGTGATAAACGAAAACATGTGCGAATCTAATTGAACTTTTTATTAACGTTGAAAATTAGTTGAAAAGTTACAAAGGCAACTGGGCGCAGCCCCAATGCCAAAAGTGGGAAAAATCGAAGTCCACAACACTTGCTAATAAGGGCGTGTAAAATTGCATTGCAGTAATTTCGTTCTATAAAATTAGTATATTAAGTAGTAAATAATGTTGGAATGTGTGAAGTTTATACAAAATGTGAATATATAATAAGAAGTGTATTTATTTTACGGTGATGGGATGTGATATTTCTTATCTATGTGCATGTTTTCCTTTTTGTAAAATCAATTGCGACTGATTAATGCGGTAGTTTTAAGAAAACGAAAATAAGGCAAATACAAGATGGAAATGGTTATCGAAGAGACTGATAACAACTTCGGATTTCCCGAAGCGGGAACTTGGAACAATACCAGCCACATACCGCTGGAAAACATGAAAATCGATGCTCCGATGGTAAGTACCAATGACAAATGATTCATCGTTTTAATATTATTTAGTTAATCAAATCTTATCGCTTGTTCAGATAAAGGAGAGAGTCTATTTGTTTGATAAACAAATGTATGGAACTTAGCCCTACCATCCAGCTCCACTCAATTGAATTTCTAGGCTTCGTTTTAATCTGTTACGTACTTGCAATTATATACACTTATCTCTTGGGTTATGATTGCGATGTCGTTGCCTTATTTTTTTCCGGAAGCCTACCAAATAAGCATATATTTATGTATATATGTAAAATTGTAAATACAGCATCGTTTGTATATAACTTATATGCGTATGTATGTGTATGCTAAGTCAGAGATAACTTAATTTATGTTTTGTTTCTGATTAAAATTCCTTGCAGCGCGCTTGTGCATAATTAGTACTTGTGTGTAAACAAGTGTTTGGGCTGTATAGAGGAATGCAAACTCTCGATCAGAGATGTGTTTAGCTGTCTTACGAATTATGCAAATTAAACACAGTTAAGGGATCAGCTGTTAATGTTTATGAATTTGACATAAGCAGTTCATGCGCAGAAGTTTTGTTTTGATTTGGCTGTTTTGTTTATTTACATTTTCGTTTTTGTTGTTGTTGACGGCATATAAACAAGTGTTTGTTTACTATGAAGCTTGGGTATTTGACCTCAGTCAACAAGTTGTCAAAAAGATTTTAATCATATACATGGGTGTGGGTGGTTGGTAAATAATACCGGTGTGTTGCAACCTGTAGAGCACTTAATTTAAATTAGTATGGGTTTCAGAAACGATAACAGTACGATACACATTTACTTGTGCATACATACTCGTATTTACGAAATTGAAGCTTTATTCTTAAGTAGGGTAGTATTTTTAATTATTTTCGTTTTTTCGTGCTTAAATGAATATAAATATCTAAAAGACACAACATGTGTCTTCAAGTTGATTGGCGCAAAATTACGAAATTACGAGTAATTCAAAGCTTTAATCCTCATCCCTCATCACACCAAAACTTCTGCACCGATTATCTTGAAATTTTGATCGTAATTTTTGTATATTTTTTAAGAGATAACAGCGTAGTTTTTTTTAAGATTGTGAAATTTTTATTTTACAATTTTTTCGAATCAATATCTCTTTTCTACAAATTTCGATAGTTCTTTTCGGCCATACACATGCGACGCCAATTATGAGGGGCACAGCAAACCTCGTTTCTGTGAAACCTTTCAATTATTGGTGCCATTACCATTTTTTTAAAACTTCCTCGTTCAAGTTTTACATAACATCCTTAGAATGTCATACTTTAATATATTAATGGCTTTAATAAAAGGTTTTTACTGTATCATCACAAAAACATGACAGTTTTTACACGAACTATCCCTATTACTCTTTAACTTGTTAATTCTTTTATATTAATTAATTAATTTCATTTATTATCCAGATATGGCTACTCTGCTCTCTACTGACGTCAATAACATGGGTTACCTATATAACATTTTACAATTCTCGCCTAGTTGGAGTTTTCATAACAAAAATTGTTAATCGATGGTTCATAAAAGGCGCATACTTCAAAATTGGTAAAATTCCTCAATGTAATACATAAGCATGATATAAGGAAATTTGTTGTAATGCATTTTCAGGTTCAGTAGCATTGAATCCATTGGCTGGAAAAATCATGTTCCGTGATTTCGTGTATATAACCTTCGACTATTCAGTGCGCGTTCAAGATGGTTATTTTATATTTCGTTGGTGGCGATCTTATGTTCCCAAAGATGTTTCCGAAGGTTGGTTATTTATTAAAATTTTATTATTGAAACAACTTTATTGAAAACGATATTCAAGATCTTTCACATTCGGATACACGTCTCTCTGTGCAATTAAATGGTTTTGAGCTTCACATTTACAACCGCTCCGACCTTTATGATCAGCTGGAGAAAACGTTTGGACTCAAGCCGTCGCTCCTAATACCCGTAAGCTTTTATTATAAAGTATAACACCTTTTACAACCGATTAAAAACGTTTTTCTACTGTTATAGACTGATAATTTATCAGCTGAAGAGCGTTCAAAACTTAAAGAGCACACCATGAACATGGAAAATGCGCGCCAAAGTAAGCGCGAGAGTGTTAAAAATTCAGAAGCCATGAAAGCCACTACTTGGCGAGATTTGATACCGGTCATAAAGATGGATATTTGCTCAGGCCGGTTTGTGTTCGGCAATCGCTTGACACCAACAACTCTGTCAATTTCGGTGGAGGAGGCGCACTGTACGTACAGTACCAAACCCGCAGTGTGTCGGCTGGATCATTTCATGCATTTCGTGAAAGCAAATGTGGAGAATGCAAAGGTCATGTTTGCACCCAGCCCAAAGTATACCGGTTTGGTGGATGAACCGCCACGCTACATGGGCGAGGGATTTGTCGTTATGATGTGTAATCAAATGGAATTGTATTTTTATATGGACGAACCGGGTTTGGTACCAGAAGAACCGGTAACAATTATTCTGGCCAATGGTGATGTCGTCGAACCGTCGCCGCCCGTTTGGGGTATCAATATAAAGTGTTTGAAAGGCACGGATTTTAGCTATGGTCCATGGGCGGATCGTCAACGTGATCATCTCTTCAAATTTTTCTATCCACCCGATTGGCAAGAGATGGTAGTTACACCGACACCCAAGCCGGGTGAGTTGCGCAGCTACCAATCATTCGATGTTACGCTTTGTGTGCTGAGTGAAGCCACAATTGATATACTCTTTTCGAAGGATAAAGAAACAAACGCCATGCACATTACCGTGGGACCAGCCTCATACGTGGAGTTGACCATACCGTGGGTAACACACGTTGATGGCTACACTTCGAAAATTCAAGGCCAACTGTTTCATGTCGAGGCCACCACTTCACTGCAGTACCGCAGTTTAGCCGAGTTGGAGTCACTCGAATATAAAGTGCGCATACACTACCCAACTCTCTGGAACGCGCCGCAGGACTGGAGCATCGCTTTAACTGGTTGCAAAGCGACTGCTTTCATTGTTTACAAACATAAGTGCTTCTTTCAGGATCTCATCGAGGATTGGGCTAGCAAAGCCAGACCCGACATTTTAACCTTTGTACCATACACATGTAAATTCAACATACTTTTGAATGAATTTGAAATTTTAATGCTTTGCAACGAGTACAATTGGATCGATTGTTCGAGTGCGAATCAGGAGAACAATCATTTGGCGTTCTGTGGCGACGTATTCGATATGAGCTTCGCGCTGCCATTCGATGATTTCCTGCCAAAAACAGTAACGCTCAAATTTTGGATACATGGCGAAGGCTTAGATTTGAGTTTGTATGTGCCAGAGGTATCTTCAGCGCGTCCCATTGTTTTAGCTATCGATGAAAACGCGCGACTTTTGACACGCGGTGGTCGGGTAAAAACCCGTCCGGAATTGTATACGAAAAAGTGGCGTAAAATATGCCAACGCAGGTGCGTAACCCTTAACACTTTTAAAAAATGACCATTAATCAAACGTTTTGTTATCAATTTGTTGCTGTTTTATTCTTTCTACAGCGCTGGTTGGATAGACTGTTGGACTGTGCCGATCGTAGCACTATCAATACAGTATGTTTACCATCCTGTGCCACCGTTGGGTCCCGATCCACAAGCCGATATCACTACGCCTGAAAAGGAAGAGATTCTACTGAGTCCAATGCGCATACCTAAAATACGAAAGTCGCCTGTATCCTCTTGGCAAAAACCCGAGCAGCACAAATTCGAACCAAGCACCCTACCAGCTGATCAGGTTACCGTCGAATTGGAGATTGGCTCTTCGGTACTGATGTGTTACGGCAACGTGTTACGCAACTTTATAAATTTGAAAGAAAACATATTTGGCGAAGATCAAAACTTCACCGACATGGAACAGTCCAATGTTAATTTGAAGGAGAGCACCTCAACCAGCACTACAACAAATCCGAAAGATCAGTTGCTGTCGAAAGATAAAGACATTGCCACAAAGTCCATTTCGGAGGTGACTGTACCAGAGGAGAAGCAAAAGCCATTCGATCCACGTCTATATCGCCCCTTGGAAGTGATAGTTTCACTGATCATACACGACATACAAGCGCATGTGATGAAGAATTGCAATGAGAACGATCCGCCATGCCCAGTGGTTTTGATTGAACGCTTCGGTTTCGAGATGAATAAACGCTTTCATGAAACCACGCTACAAGTTTTGGTTAGTCCCTCTTATTTGATCACTTCGGATCTGGTAGTGCGTCCGAATCGCGATAAGCATATAAATCAGGGGCACTTATTGCTCTCAGCGGTGCAGGTACGCGGCCATGCGATGTTTAGTAACGAAGGTTGCGCACTGGACGAAGACACCTTGGAGTATTCGTGGCTAATTGAAGTGCAGCTAGGAAAGTTGTCAGGAAAGCTTACGTTACCACAGCTTTGCAATATTGTTGTTGGCTTGGAGACCTTGGTATTGCTGGCAGTGGATCCGGAAAATTGCTTGAAATCTCCAAAAACCGTACGTAATTGTCATCACGGCGTGCCCAGCAACCAATGTCCTCACACCAAGGAGGAGAATAAATATAAATGCCCTTCAGCTGAAGACATCAAATATAAAATGACCCGTGTGTCTATAGATGCAGTAGATGTGTATCTAATTGAGAGCGGCACCGCTTTGCATGCGTGGGTATGTAATTTGCTTTCAATCTGACATTGTTCGACTGTTATTAATCGTTCTTCTATTCGTTAGGTGTCTCCCATTCGTTTGGCTAACTGCAATTTGCATGGCCAGCGTGTTAAGTCTGGCATCTCCGGCTTGCTACCGTCTATACTGTTACGTCTCTTCATGCATAACGGCAGTTCTTACTCGAACCTCACCAACTCTTACAACACCAACACCACTGGCAGCAATCGTTCGGGAAAAATGCGTCGCTCCGAACAGGATTCCATAAAATCCGAGTCACAAGCCCAACAGCATATTGGCAAGCCGAAACGAAGCTCAAACTCATTTTCGCAACGTCGCGATTCACGTGAAGAGAACAATAGAAAGTTGCGCGACAGTTTCTCGGAGAGTAAACGTGCGTATGAGACTGAGTTTTTCGAGAACTGGGTCGAGGTTGGTTGCACTTCGTTGGGACCGATACTGCTTGAGGGTGCGTCGGCATTGCCCATCCCTGATCATAAGTTGCATATCGTGCAACACAAGTAAGTTGTGAATGTGACATATATCAATATATTATATAATAGTATTCACCAATATTGTTATTTTCTGAATTTGTTATTGTAAAATTTTATATTTCAGCTTTTTGCGCGAACACGATGCCAAATACAAGCGCTTATGGTTTTTGTGGTCTACAAACAATAGTAATACTGCGCCTGCGCCTCCACCCTCCACCGGCACGGAGATCTCACGCTGCGGCTGCATAGGCGGCTGCGCGTTCTTCGGCAGCAATCGTAACGGCTTGAAATTTTTTAAACCCTCCGCACAAGACATACCGGACAACTACAACATAGCACGTTATTAGTAAGCCCTTTCAGGACCCCGTAAAAATCGGCCATATTTACTTTATTTAATTTCTTTTCTAGCATAATCAACAACAACAAGGATTATGGTTTTGGCGAAAGCATACTACATCAAGGTCAATTGGTGTTCCACACGCCACCCTACAGTTTGCATTCGGTTTCGCTGCACGACAGTAACGATTTCAACGGTAAAGGCAAACATTATCGCCCAAACGTAGAGCTGCGTAACGGCAGCCTCAAGAAATCGGAGTTGGGCAGCAAGGAAGTGGGTGGAAAGCTAAAAATAAGCAATGCCATCGAAATACCCGACATTAGTGGGCGCAAGTCGCGCGAGAGCATCGGCTCGCCAAACACGCTTGAGCGACGCAATAAGCGTTATTCGTACACCACAAATAGGTGAGTAGTAAGTGTGGTGAAAAATTGGGTTTCACATTAATGTGTTTACGAATAGCAGGCAAACCTCTGTTGAGGTGCCGTATGCGCGCCTTTTGGATAGCCCCTCCAAGAAGGTGCTGCGTCAGGACTCAAATGAATCACAGCTACAGGTGGCATTTCGGCGTGGCTCCGATACAGCCAAATCGCAGTCGCAAAACAACACACTACGCGTTTCACCACCAAAAACGAGCATATCCGATTCGCGCTTAACCGGCGAAGCAGATGTAGAAGACGAGTTGGAGGTGAATGTCCGCATTATTTATATAAATATTTGTAATATTTTGTTGTGTATGTGTCCAGATTCCCGATGAAATGTCGCACTCGGCGCCGCACTCACATCCGCTCGAATTTGAAATCGCCGATTTGCCATTGCCGATGCAGCAGTACGGCGAAACAGCGCTTACCAATGGCGCTGATCACCTGACGCGCGAAGTGCAGCGCACGATATCATTGACTTCGGAGAATCCCTCCGAGATGTTCTTCTCAGCCGAGGAGGATATATCGAATATGATGTCGCAAGGTGGCTCCATTAAAAACCGCAACGGTTCCATAGTCTTCTCCGGCAAGAAACGGTTTTCGTCTGATTTAAGGTGCTTATTTTTTAGCGCATAAATCTGCGGTTATTTATACCTTCTCTGCTCATTATTTTATTTAGCATTGGCGCGCAAAATGAAAATGCTGGCCTCACGCTCTCCACCTACCGCAGCGACTTGGAAATACATGCACCGGAATCCAAAACCCTACCGAAGCGTCCACAAAGCACCACCGAATTGGTATGCCTAAGTTTAAGTGAGCTCCGCGCTTCTAGAGAACAAAGAAAAACTCGTATTCAAACATGCCTACACCACTTTCTTACATGATTTAGTATTGCAGCTTTCAAGCAATTTTCTCATTATTTTCGTATTAAACTCATATAACTTCTAAAAATGCAAAAAAAAAAAAAAATTAAAAGAAAAAAATTCAAAATCTATTCAAACGAATTTACATAAATTTCCAACCTTTCTAGCTTAAATATTTTCGTAAACGTTAAACTTCACTTAAAGTAAACTCAACTTAATTACTTCATATTTATTGTGCTAAATACTTGAAAAGACTGCCCATAAGTTTGTTAACAATATAATCACAGAGTCGAGTATGTATTATGCATGTTTTTGTGTATAATTAAGTCGTAACTAAGAAACCTTTAAAAACCAAAAAACAAAAACAAAGAATACCCCTAAATTATCTCTATATACCTTTATATACAAAATATTCCACATGCGATTCTTTTCAAAATTCATCAATTTCATAGAACGAAGACGTGAGACGTATTCATGGTCTTGCCACACCAATCAGAAAACTATCAAATATTTCATCAAGACCTGAGTATCGACATTTTATTCATGATGTGAGTAGACTTAGCGCCAAGTTACATCTACTATCCTAACTAACTAATACTACTATTTGCAACAGAAGTCTTTCTATTTCCAACTTGGAATTGTAAAAAAGAAATTAATTGTTATGAATACGTTGAACAACGTCTGTTACAATTTAGTTGTAGTTTCTTTTTATATAGATTTTTTTGCTCTTTTTTGTATTTTTCATAACGACCTAATTCAATAATTCCCGAATATGTGTGCTAGTGTTTTCAGCTTTAATCGCATGCGCTTTGTTGTTGTACAGTTATTTTTGAATTTATATTTGAAATGCATGAGCATAGTTGAAGTCATTTTCAAATGTTAGACTACTTGTTGCTTCATTGCGCCTATAAATACTAAAATTAATATAATTACTTAATAAATTATTTATAAATGAAAATAGCGGTTTCGCATTCATAACCGACATTTTTTTTTTATATATAATATAATTTTTTTTATAATATAATATCATCCGCAAAATTTTATGTTATTGTAAGTACTCTTGTCGGAACAAGCGCAATCGCCTTAGAATTCTAATTTTCGAAGCATAAAAGTTACCATTAATATCGGACTATATACTATATGTTAACTTTATGTTGCTGATTCAAATAATTTTCGAGGCGGTTGACAGTCCTTAACCGGGGAAAAAGACGTGTTCGCTTAAAGACTTATTGTTTAACTTCTACATCTCGAAACTGCCACAGCCACCAGAGGGAGCTCTATCACCTCGTACGCTGATGGTTGCACGGAATTGACGTCGGCCAATAGAATCGATGGCACATGTTCAAAGGTAGACGGCTTTCTCTCCGATCTTTCTCGCTTGCACTCTGCACGGAACTTAACACTCTCCCTCATTAAATCCACAGCCACCATATTTACTAACTCGACGAAGGAGTACAGACTTGACCTTAATATTGTAGTCAATGCCATCAAAATTCCGACTGTCAATAATCCTAAAATGTTAGGTGTGACTTTTGACAGTCGGTGCTCCCTCACTCCTCATACGATTATCATCAAAGTACAGAGCCGCAACAAAATCCTCACGTCGCTAGCCAGCAGCACTTAGGGAAATGACAAAGAATCGTTGTTGGCAACTTACAGGGAAATCGGCTGGTCGGTCCTTAACTACGCCGTACCTATATTGTCACCTAGATGCAGTGGAAAACAGACGAGGAAGCTTTACACCTGTCAGACTACTGCACTTCGTACGCGCCAGGATGCCTCTTGATGTCTCCTATCAAACACCTGTATAGTGAGGTCCGTATGCTCCCAGTTAAGGAGCATATTAAACTCCTCTCCAGGCAGTTCCTGATGTGGTGTTTTCGTAGAAATCCTATGAACACCAAGAGATCATTCCTCAACTACGTCGACGGCGTCAAACAATACGCCATACTTCGGACGCAACTAACTTCCGACAAGTACTGACCGCAATTCACAGTGCAGCCATCAATACCTTCATCGACTCCATTCCATTGAATGGCCACTGCAGTTGAAGAGTGTGACCCTTGCGCAGCTCGTTCCGACACATCTATTATGCTTCCTGCGTGCAATGAGTGTCTGCATGACATACCTCTTTGCATGCCCCACCAACGCCTCTCATCTGATACCCCTCTGTCTTTGGTCCGACCATGTCGAAACAGCTTGTTCCTTCGGCTTACCGTTAGGTGACGTCGACGACAACTTAGCTTATCCTTACCATTCTAACGGGGACTACGTAACTGCTATAACAACAACGTGTTCGCTTACCATGAACCGACTGTCGTAAAAGCGGCAGACAAACGTTATATTTTTGTTGTTGTATAGTGGTAAAAAAATGCCTCAAGAAATTTTGAGGCATGCTGCCGAATAGATCGACCTTTTTGTATGCAAATCTGGGTCCGTTCTGGTTAACTAGCAGTTATTCGAAGGAGCGCGGTTTGAACATTGTTGACGGACGAGGCTGAACTTTAACGAGTAAAATGAGCAATATATGGTCTGTGTGTTCGTCCGTATATACATGAACTAGTTCCTCAGTTTTTGAGATACCGATCTGGAATTTTGCAAACCTTCTCTCTTCAAAAAGTTGCTCATTTGTTGGATACAACATCGGACCACTTGCCATTAAAACTGACCGATCAAAATCAAGTAAAAGATTTTTTATAATCTTTTTTTCATAGCTTTGGTGTAACTGAAGTAAATTTTTTTTTTCATCTTTTAAGTGAAATATTTATTGCATGCTTCTAATAATAATCTAGTAAATATATCAAAAATTTGTAGCATCTATATTTTGGCGTTTATTCCGTTAATCTGCAGACTTTTGTCTCTTTCGCTAATAAATGTTTGCTTTCGACCTGAATTTGTATATTTGAGTCTATCATTTCGGTAGAGCGACGCCTGTTAGTGCATTTATTACTGATTTAGTCTTGAATGCCGCTTGTTTGGTTACTCTTCTAGCGCAAATTTAGTTTGCCGCCTGTTAAATCTCACGACACAGTAGCTTTTTCGCACTAACCACACATTTCAAAAGAGAAAATGTAATTTGTTGTGTTTCTTTTTCGGCTTCCTAATCAACAGGTTGATTCTCGTGGTTCTTCGTCCGGCACACCATCGCTCTCATCTAACTCCTTCATCTCGGCCATGTCCTCGCAAGAAGATGTCGCGTTGGTCAATTTGCATCAACAAGTGAATCGTCCCATCATCGATTCACCGCTACTGATGGCCAGCTATTTAAATCATTTGTCGCAGGTGAAATGCTTTAATTGGACGGCATGTTCATTTCCATCGGGTCCGGATGTGTTCTCCACGCCTATGTTCCACGAAAACGAAGATGGCGGGCTCACGTACATAGGCAGCAAAATGTTACCACACTTCGATTTGTATGCGAGCTGGCGTGAGATCAAAGTGGTGCCCCGTTATGAAAATGCCACCGGCAGCAACAGTTCGGCCACATTTATGGGCGGTCCGAAGTCGCATCCATGGGATCCCAGCGTGCTTTTGAAAGAGGAGGAGAGCGACAAGACCACTAATGGTTTCGATGATGGCGAATTTATGAGCTTACAAGCGGAGGGTGCAGCCTGCACTTCTGTGGTGGCACGTCTCAAGGGTCAGGTTAATGTCTTTCTAACACCACTAATGCTCGAAGGTTTGCAGCGGTGAGTATCATTAAACGTTGCAGTGTTGCACTTATTGATAAATATATAATTTTATTGAACTCATACAATATAAAGTTATAAATTAGAAAGTAATATATGAATGCATGTGTGGTATAGCCTGAAAGTTCAGACTCTACATTCAATTGCGTTTCACGCGTATGTGCTCCTTCTTGACATCGCCCTCTTCATTATTTTCTTCTTGGTCGCGTGGAAAGGAGTTCTCAAGTTGCCGTATATACTCAGCGTCCACGGCGGCCTAGCAGATAGAGAGAAGAGAATTTGTGACACTTTCTGAAAACAATCTCATAACTTCCCGAAATTAACGACTTGCCTGTTTTATTTCGTGCCCGTTGTCGCGTTTCGTTCTTTGATTCTCCGTTTGTTCCATGAAGGGCATTAGGCTCTTGCGCGGTATTTTTAAATGCATAGAATTGCGCGCATCTCTCGGTGGCTCATCTATGTCATCATAGTAATTTAGATTCGCATCGTCATCCATAGGGTTTCCGTCGAAGGTGTGGTCGCGCGGTGGACCCAAAGCATAGTTATGGCTTTAAATTCAAACAAAAATAGGTTTTTACCGACATTTTTTGTATATCTTCGTTAAACTTCACCTGTCGTAATCGACGTAGTCGTAGTCCGGTGCATTGGGCCTGTCAATAAGTTTATTTAGCACATTCAAATCCGATATGGAGAGATCGTCCAGCGCCATATCAATTTCGGCATCAGTTAGACCTCTTGTTGGATCGCTGACCTCCACCTTTGGTTCCAGATCTCTTCGCTATAAATACGCATTTATTAGTTTTTATCGGCGGGTAGTAGTTGTTACTCTTATTCACTGTGCCTACATGTATATTGTATTGTGACCTTCCTCCATGCAAGCACATCAAAAATATAAATATGCAGTAAATTATTGTTGTTTGAAAGTAATACGACATTTCTTGCAAATTGTTTTGAAAACATCTTGACTTTATTTATGATATGAAAAACTTTCGTTAACAGATTTTCAATATGAAACAGGTAAAAGTAAGACGTGTTTCTATACCGGCCCCTGCAAGCTGAAAAGGCACTTAACCAACATGGGCCTAACATCTTGCGCCAACTGTCGGATTTGCTACAGGGACCCTGAAACCCCGGAGCACCTGCTAATCAACTGCATTGCAGTCTGTAGGCGCAGGTCTCAGGCCCTTAGAGCCATGTTTCCGGATAGGGATCACATCGCTTCGCTTAGCACCCAGCAAAATACTGAACTTCGTCAATATGCTAGGGCTAAGCGAGTCCCTGTGAGTTAGGAGAGGGCACAATAGACCTATGGTCGCAGTGCATTCCTCAGTTATCTATCTATCTAAGACGTGTTAGTGTGGGAAAGCGATTACTGTACAGTTCACTTTTTCTTCGTTTCATTTCTTTGTTCACTACTTTGGAGCTCTGCGCTGGTTTTTGAGTCCAATTTTCGATGACTCGGTCGAGCATTTGGACTGGCCAGAATCGAGGCGGGATTGTCCGCAAATACTTTATACTTTACATATTCCCATAGCCAAAAGGGTGCGATATCACATGATCTTGGTGGCCAATCGATCGGCCGAAAACATGACATCATCTGCTCAACGAAGAGTTCTCTCAATCAATTCTTTGATTCAATTTCACTCATGAAATAGTCGGCTATCAAAAACGATAACGGTGGCCATTGATGGTTACGTTCTCACCGGCATCGGTTTTGAAGAAATATTGAACGATGATTCTACCGGCCTACAAATTACACCAAACCGTTGTTTTTTCTAGATAAAATGGCAGCTCTTGAATCTCACCAGGTTGGTTTTGGTCCGAAATGTTTGAATTTTGCTTGTTTACATACCCATTGAGCCGGAAATGGGCCTCATAGCTGAAGAAAATTTGGCTCGAAAGCGTCGGATCTTCTTGCAACTTTTCAAGAGCCCATAGAGCGAAGCGATCCCCACATAAAATACGCAAAGTCGTTTCATACGAATCGACTCTCCACGGTCTTCGTGTACACCCTCAACTACGAAGGAAACACATAATTTATAGAACGTTGTTACTAGACACGGCTCAGACGTGATTTGAATTACCCGTTATAACCACTTTATTTATTTATAACCGTTCACCGATCGCTACGCCACTCCAAATAGTCAGCTATTATGCCCTTAAGATATGTGGCTGTCACAATTAGAATGTAGAACACCATGACATCGAAGCGCTGAGGAAAAAGTTTATGTAGATTAGATAAATACATACGGTTTCAATTTTATATACCGGATTTGAAAAAAATAGAACTATCCCACTATCTGCTAGAAAAATTCTGTGTCAGCAGTAAAGCTTCTAATATAAACTATTTTCTTTCATTGCTAATATATTATAAAGATAAGCTTCAGAGGATTTGAAGTTCAATAAAATGATTTCTTCTGCGAAAGTAATTGTTTTGGGCGATGAACGTGTTAAGGTTTTTAAGTGTATAAGAAAGGAGCTTAGAGAAACATAGATGCTGCCTTAAAAGATGAGACTGTTAGAGTTGTGTTAGTTAGAAGCTGTACTCAGCTTTAAAATTTCCACAAAAATATATTTCTTTAATATCTCTCTCTCATCGTACATATGAAAATATAGTACATATTTGGAAGATGAAATAGTCAATTAAACGTGAAGAGTTATGTAACTGTATCTACCATTCTACTAATTTATTCCTACTATATTAAATACGTTTTTACCAATAGCATGGTGGAAGCCAGTATACCTACGATATCTTCACTGCATTTGCTATCCGTCGTCAATCATATACACGCCTCGTGTATTGCAAAAGTGCAGAATGATAATATACTCAAACGGGATCAAAGTTTGAGTTACTGGTCGCAGGTAAGCACTTGTACCACGTACATATTTCTACGTTAAAGTTATTAATTACAATTTCCTTAATTCCATAGGTGCATTCGAATTCGAAGCGCTCAACAACTGAGCGTAATCTACAAGGTCCTGGGGACTCATTTCTCAGTGATGTCTACGAAGAGAGCATATCGACAAAGACCCAGGGACTGATTGTACTACCGAAGATTAGCATCACAATGCTACAATCTTCCATAATTGAAGAAGTCATCTCGGTCGCTGCGTTGGATAATGTACAGGTGAAACATTATATACGCATTGATTGTGTAATTGTCGCAATAATTCAATGTTTTGTTCTTTGTAGGATCTCAGTTGTGTTTCGTTGTTGACCTTCTACATTGAAGGCGTTTCGACCAAGTTTCATTTGGGTAAAACGACACGCGCTTCCATGCACAACGTATACATACAACAAACTGTGCAATCGGGCAATAGCCAAAAGAAAGGAGGCATCATGAAGGGCACACGTGCACTCTTAGCGCACTTGTCTTCACAAACGCGCCCAGACAATATACAGGGTGAGCCCATACTCATCGAAACATCCGAAAAACAACTGGAGGAATTGGTAATAACACTTGACGTGGGTCGGGCACATGTGCAATTGCGCCGACTCAAAACCGAATCGAGTTGTGGTCAAGAGTCGCCTATAATTGTCACCGCCATACCCGAACATAAAAGTAAAGTCCTATTTGAATTGCTTAAGATGCCCGAAAGTACGACTGGGATTGAAGGTATTGGCTATATAATGTTTGAATGCGGCCTAGAGGGTGTGGGTGTCAAGATTGTGAAGCGTTCACATTTCGAGAAGTCTGAGAATACTAAAGAAGATCTGGCTGAGATTGCCGAAGGTGCCACCGAGGCAGCACGTGGTGTAAACATAAGCGATTTGGTGGGCAGCGTGAATGCAGACGTCGGCACGACCTCGAAAGCCGAAGCAGCTTGGCGCTTAATTACTAAAAAGCCGCCGACACCTAAAACGCCAAAGGAAAAATTCCAAACAGCTTTGGAAAGTATAATTGTACACGAACGCACAGAGAGTATGAGCGAGGGGCGTAAAACCAACACAAAGGTGCAAGCCGAGGAAGATATTGAGAAGGGTAAAAACGGTGGTAAAGACAATAACCTCGAAAAGAAGACGCCAAATGTGAAGGAAACGGAAAAAAATTCTTCGTGTGTAATTGAGTTGAAATCCGTTTGGTTCAATTTCGCAGCGCCACCTTGCGTACCCATTACAAGAAAAATTGATTTAACCCGGTAAGCATATGAAGGCGGAGCTATCATGTAAGATTCACTTTAACTTAACCTTTCAGACTCGATTGGAATCTCTTGAGCACCGCATCCCCTGCTATCACCGCATGGATGAATCCCAGCAACCGTTTGGCCATAAAGATTGTGTCGCTTATGCGCGCTCTGCACACACGGCAGACAGCCATAGCGGCTTGCCTAATGGCGGATGCCCTGGATAATGAAAAAATTAAGCGCAGTCCGAAAATTAAAAAGGTTTGCCAACTACTAACGCACAGTTTGAGGTTATCTAGTACATTAGTGTATATTTCTTTCATAAACAGAGTCGCTACGCCAATAATTACACATTGCTATCGAAAACTTTACAAGAGGATCCCAGTTGTCAGCTTTGTTACATAATGCAAAAACTGGTGTTGGACGAGGGCGTCCAAAGGGTGGAGCAAATATTCAAACAAAGCGATGTGCCACATTTAAACACTTTGCGACAGGTCCTTATAAGCTAAAAAATATTATTATTAATGCATACGTATTGTGAACCTCTGTGCTTTTTTAGGGTGTCATTGTGCTAAGCCGTCAGTGGAAGAATACGCTCTATAATCCCATACTTTTTGAGCATCAATACAAGAATAAATTGGCACGTCCCATAAATGTGACATTCTCGTTTCCGCAACAGGAGGAGGAATGCGATGATGCGGAATGTGAAGGTGAAGCCGATATGGGTGTCTATGCGGCAGGCGTCGATAATCCCGAAGAGAGTGAGAATGCTTTATTACTTGGGCAAACACAGCATCATCGAAATCATATTGGTATTTTTGATTAACCACCTCTCAAACGTACACAGCGTTTTCCCCTCATGCTATATAATGACATTCGAGGAGATCACGTATACACTTTCTTTCCTAAACTACATACATATATATTCTGCTCTTATTACTTTTTCTTGAGCTGAAGCTTTTCAGATTTTTTATTCTCCACTTGAATAGCTATAAGAATATTTGAGGCTCAAGCGCCATGTACATTAAAGCTCACAAATACTATGAAGATTGCGTAGCTCTTTGCTGCACACATTTGGTGCTTCTACCCGTGCCAATAATTCAACTTTTGTTCAATAATTGATTGAGCGCATTTCAGTTTATGGTTGCAACCTGATGCTCTCTCCCACTCTCGCTCTCTTTCTCACATTGTGCATTAGTAACTACTTATATTTTCAATATTTATATTGCTTTGGTACTGGGACAGCCAACTTATTTGTGTTTTACTGCTTTTTACATTTTTATCTTTTATTTCATTTTCAAAAACTATGTCTAGCACCTTTTCAGTTTCGTAAATTGTTTTATTTTTGTTTTCTATATGTTTCTGTGTTTCGTCTCACTTCATGCCATGGCTGAAATGTGCTGATCACGCTCTGTACACACACTAAACTTTTCTATTTAATTTTCTATATTTTACAATATTTTTCAAGCTATCAAAAACCGTATAGTTTTGTAATATATACATGATTGTCTGCAGCGTTTACACACTTATTCTTGATTTCTTCTTGTTTTGCGCTTTGTTTTGTGACACTTTTGCACACGCTAATACCGCGATTGCATTTCAAAAAGGTGGCACTCATGTCTATAGCACAAGCTGTACAAGCTATACTCAATTTGTTGTAATGTAACTCTATGTATATTTTCTAATTCGAACATTTATCAACAAACATATACAGATAATTCACAATTTGGCATGGGCTTTGCCAATGAGGCGTCGCTGCATGGCGCTGCGCAAAGATCAAACTCAGCTTCGCCCAACATACATTCGACACGAAAAGGGTGAGTTCTAATTTCGCTGCATTATTTGAATTTAATTTTAAAACTTATTAACAATTGTACATATTGTTGATTGTTTATTCGAAATTCATTTTTATTCTCATTTTGTATATGCGTTGGTACCCGCGCTCAATTTGCTATATATATGTATATATGATAAACTCTATGTACTTGTGCGCTGCCGTGTAAATATGCGTTCTTCTGTTTTTGTAATGTGTCCACAACGCCTACACCTCGGTCTTTGTTGCTATTGCAGCAAAGCACATAGCAAATGTTCGAATATTTCACATGGAAATTCATCTCGTTCCAGCATACAAATGCTGCCGATTATTTCTGGACTAGTGGAAAAGCAGGTGCCGGAATTCGGTTTGTATTTCATTACTCAAAATTATTGTGTGCATATAATTGTGATGGCTTGCGTATTGCAGAGTATGGTGCATTGCAGGAGGGTTCATTGAGTTCTAGCAATTCGGTAAATAAATTTTGGCTCGGTCCGGAAAATCAAAAAGAGGACTTGTACTTTTGGATGGCCAAGCAGCAGGAGAATAAAAAGAAAGAAAATTCTGTTGAGCCGGAAATAATACGGCCGGCACCGGTGAAATTACCAGGCGCTGGTCAAATGCGCGGTGGCATTTTGCAGGACTCAATAAAACTGCTCGATGCGCATTTGATTTTCGAACCATTGCTCACATGCTTGGGTGTAATGCCGCAGCAGATGGTGAACAAATTCGCAAATGCGGGTAATAATAAATCATATTTATTCAGAACTGCAACAGTAAATCGAAACATATTTTACATATTTGCAGACATTTCATCCTTGGAGAATTTCGGCACCAATCTTTCACTCATCGGCACCTTCGACTCCATACGTGTTGATATTGTTGTAAGCGAGGCTGGTGACAAGAAGAATAAATGCGCCAAAATAAATAAGAAGGCAAATGGACGGCAATCAATCATGATGGATACTCCTTTGTTTTTGTGTGAACGCGTCGGGGTTGAGTTGGAGGTGTTGAAGAAATCCGATGGTATGGTCGATCAGGCGCGTCAAAATGTTATTTATATGTCTCGACGACAATTGAAAAAACATACCAGCACCGTTATCAACTTGAGCCTCAATATACGTTACATATCACAGCAGGTGAGTGCACAGAAATCTAGAAAATGCGTACTTCTGAAATGCAATAACCGCTTTTGAAGAAAGCTCTTTTAACAATTCCCACGGCAGCCGGTTTTACGATACCGGATTCCATTTGGTTGTAGCCATCTTAAGGCCTGCTCATGCCTTAGACTAATGTTAATTATTATTATAGCTACTATAGCTTCGGTCCAGTCAAAATTAACGTTTTTTCTTGCTTTTTTATATATATATTCTCTTTAGCGTTCAATTGTTTGTAGTAATATAATATAATTTTAAACTTTGGAATATTCGACATAAATTTTAAATATTTCATTAAATCAGCAGTGAATATATAAAACGTTAAGAATTCTGACTTTGTTAATATATTTTATTTTGTTTGGTTAACAGGTCAATATGCCACTACTACGTCTCCTACATCAAATTACAAACATGTACCAGAACGTTAAGGAAGCGCAAAATGAGTTCCATCAGCAGCCGGATTTGGTTAGGAAATCACATGCGAAAGATGAATGTAGCTTAGGTAAAATATTTTCGCTTTTTTAATGGAGAACAAAAATTGTAATAATATGTCTTTCAGCTTCCGAACCCAATGACATTGTCGGTTTTGGTTCAGTATCCGATCGCTTTGCACATACTGAAAACTCTTCTGATGAGCGTTATGACAAATTCAATGAAATGATATCCATGACACATCCGATCGGTGGCAGGTAGCACATTTACAATGTTGGTTTTTGTTATAAATACATTTTTATGCAATAATTGTTGTTGTATACACACAGAGTGCGCCCAAGTGGCATTGGTCCCTTAATACAACTGACACCCTCGCCAAATGCGCGCAATCGACCCTCAAGTTTTGCGCAAAAACTACGCTCAACTGGCAAATCGGTTAAAGGAAAGCTAGGTATTAGTAAATATAATATTTTCTTATAAATATACAACTAAAATCTAACTACATTCTCCTGTCAGGCTACACAAATTTAAATGAGACCAGTTCCTCGCCTTTACGTGACAGCCCTACCACCTCTGTGAGCGAGCAGCACATGTTCAAACTATCACTGGAGTCCAAAGCCTCCCTTAATGGCGTTTGCGCCACCAGCGTTAGTGGTGATTACAACACAATTACCAAAAACGGGTTTGATGGCATACAGCCACTGCTACAAACGCCCAACTGCTGGAAAACGATTTACAACTTGCTGGAACTATATGGTACAATGCCCGAAACGAAGACCGTGCAGCGCAGCTCCATGTCTAATGAGGTGCATGATGCTGCCAAGTATGGTGTGAAGAAAACGCCTGTCGGTGGATTTATGCGGCAAGATACACGCAACGATGACGATGATGCCACGAGCGCGCCAACGCCATTGCCGCAGCATCGTGAGCTTGTTGGTTAGTTGTTTAATCCTACTTTGGAATTATACAAATATTATAAGTATTCACTAAATTTAAATATTCTTTATTTTCCTCTTAACATTAGAGACCTTATCGCAGGAAAAGACACGTTTGGTGGTGTTCGCCGTTGCGAAAATTCATAAGACACGCTTAATGGCGACACTGAGCGGCTTAAAACTGGAAGCTGAAATCACCACTTTGAACGGCAGCGCCACCTGGCGTAAAAAAGCACGTCCCGTCTCACTGGAGTGCTCAATAACTGGTCAAGTAGGCCGCACCATGATCGTGTTACTAGAAGGTGTTGCACCAAATCAACAGTAAGTCAACTTTATTATTTTTCTCTATCCGCTATGCTAATAACAATACATTTCGCATAGAACTGTCGTTAAAGTAACTGTGGGAAAATGTCAGACACTGTACTCTAGCTTGACCAAGCGCGGCAAAGATAAGAATAGTGGTTTGCTTTCCATCGGTCCGGTAAATATTGAAATACCGCAACATCCCGTCGCATTGCATGGCATGATGACTCGTAGCTCGAAGCAGCTCAGCTCGACACTACAAGAGTTGCGTGTCGGCCGCAATTCCGGTCGTTCGGCTTCGCGAGCACACAATCCCGAAGAACCAGAGTCGCCATATCACTCACGCAGCGCTGGCAAAAGCGTCGATGCCAAAGAGAAGACGCATCCCCAGCAACCCAACAAGAAACCACCACCACAATACAAATTGCCACCGCAACAGAATGGTCTGCTCCAACCGTTGGTCATGCAATTCAATATTCTGCTCCACAGTTTATCCATAAATGCAGCTCTCTTACCTTCGTTACAAGCGCAGTATCGCATGAATTGTGTTAGTTCGACCGGTGTGACAGGCAATCGTGCGAAATTCGTCATTGACTTGCCGACACACACGCTCAGCTTCAATACAAAGATACAGGTGCGGGTGAGTAAAGATCACCACCCTTCAATGAGTTGAATGAAGATTTGTGAAACACATTGGTAACTTTTCGTTTTTTTATACAGAATGAGATGAACTTGCCATCGGAGGCCTGCATCGCGTTGCCACCAGTACATGTTAGCGCGGAATACATACCAGAGCATCGACAGGAGGTATTTATTCCCTTATAATAAACCCAATGCATCAAATTTTATCGTTATCACATTTTTGTTTTTGTGGTTAACTAGGAAAACGAACGCGTTGAGGGCATTGTTTTGCGTCGCGGTGGTTATGTGAATGCATCAGCCGAGATTGGTGAATTTGAACGTTGCTTGACCACAGATCTGCTAAATCATCTAGTATTTGTGCAGAAGGTTTTCATGCGTGAAATAAATGAAGTACTGCAGAAAGTTTACGGCGGCGAGAAGCCTGTGCCGCTTTGGTCCGAAGACAGTGGCGATACGGCCAGCGTACAGGAGTCGTCACTTAAGCGTATACTCTTTTCGATCAATATTTCGATGAAACGCATACAGTTGACAGCTACAACGCCCTGCTCATCAGCTGTACGCTTTGAGACCGGTACGCTGGAGCTGCATTTGTCCAATCGTGTAAAGAATCTGGGCGAAGGCAATGATCGTAAAATGTTTGGCAAGGCACACATCGATTTTAATCTCTCACTTGGCCAAATTATACGTAATGTAATCTTCGATGAAGCCGAGCCGGAGTTTCAACAATATGCATTCTTTCACACTACGATCGGTTTGCGTAATGCTTTCCAAGATGAGCTCCTAAATGAGGACAAAGAATTGGTGCTACTAAAACTGAAGCGTCCATTACTTTACATACAACCGATTGCCGTAGACAAAGCCATTCTGGTTTGGTTGAACTACAAGAACGCCTACGAATACTGGGCAGAGAAACGCGCCAATTTGAATTACGACAGCTCACAGGTAAGCTCGAACAAGCTTCTAAAGTAATTTTTTTTATTCACTCTTTGTCTTCCTTTTCTGCAGGCTTTTGACCGCGTGGCCTTTGGGCAGATCAGCAACATTGCCGCTTCCAACTTGTCCACCTTATTCTTGCAGTTGACTGTAGAGGATATGGGCATATGCGTGCCACTAAATCAACCGGCTAACGTAAGTGTGGATTCGCGCTGTTTTACAACCGTCAAAGTATATATTTAACTTATTTTATTTATATGTGCTTTCCGCAGCCTTGGAGTACACGCTCTTACCATGACTTTGAAAGCAAGGGCGCAGTAGTTATTACTCTGGAAAACACGATAATATCTGCATGCAACTCTGGGTCATTAGTCTCCAAAGGCAAATTTCAAGGCTTGTGTCTGCGCTTTGCCGACGACTTTGAAACTACACTTGATGATTGGAAACCAAATGTAAATGAGCCCATAATGAATGTGTGTGTTGTCTCGGAGGGTACATATGAGGTTTGCTCGCGTACCACTGCCGCCAAGAAGATGGAAAATGCTAAGTGGTTGCTCAATGTGAAATGGCAAATGGAAGGTGTTGACATACATCTCGATATAAATATTGGCAAGCAACTTTCCTCACTTGGTCACACACTAACAATGTTGACCGGTTTTGAGGAGGAAGAGACTAACATGGAATCACCGGACAGTGACGAGGGCGATCACAGCTGCCGTGATACCTATGTGCGCCGACGTGAATTTGATAATCTGCCATCGTTCGTGTTCGATCCGACCATCGATTCGAAGAAGCGTTCATTCATGATGGAAAAAGAGATGGCGGAACAACTGAAAATCATCAATGACTTGCGCACATTGGGAGCATCGCATAATACAGTTGCGCATGAGGAGCGTCGTTTGCAAGAGTTACAAGCGATTTGTTACAAATATTTTCGTCGTGATATGATACAGAAATGGAAACGCCCATCACTGCGACGACCCATGAAAACGTCCAGTCGCTCATATTCGTTCATAGGTGCTTCAACGAATCGCGAACCAACAGAAGATACTCTTATGCCCGGTCCATATACGGGTCGTCGCTTAGATCCGATAGCTTCGAATGATGAGATATCCAGTTTGCAGAGTACGCCAGTTTCTGGTCATTCGCGCAGCGCTTCGTTGAAAACATGTCCGGCTAATCGTGTGACCTTCTCCGAATCGATGCGTCAGACCTCGTTGCCCAATGCTGACACGGACAGTGAAGATATTGATTGGCGCACACAGGAAGGTCACGGCGAATCGACGCCAAGTGAAATGGATATTGACGGCACTTCAGTGGAAATGCGTAAAAAGCATGGCTACCAACAGAAACAGCAAGAACCCAATATCGATTTCGAGCTTGACATTAAGGTGCTCGTTAATTCGGGCAAGTGTGTGCTGCACACCAAAGAAACTACCGAAGATCGTATGCAATTAAGTGGATCAAACACTGGAAAGACTCACAAGCGTGAGCGCAGCCTCGGCAATGACTGGGGTAGTCCGACGCCATCGCGGCGTCAACGTGATAAGAGCAAATTGCGCTACAACACATCGAGCAATGCAATGCTCTCCGATCTCACAATTTTTCATATTCCCGGCTTGGATGTCAAATTACACTATCAGTCGCGCACAGTGACCGATTTTACGGAGAATACACGCAGCATGAGCAACGACAGCCATCATTCAACGGCTCGTCGTTTGGGCAACAAGAGAGCGTCACTGTTTGCGTGGATGACGCTGCAAAGCATACCGGAGGAGACAATTATCTCGCCACACATTTTGGAATTCCTTGAGCAGACTTTGGAGCCTATACCAACAAAGACACCGGATCTAAGTGGCGCCCAAACACCTTCAGCGAATCCCGTGAACTTGGATATACTGCCCACGAACTATGTCACATATGCGTCGTTCCCCGTGGATGTTATTGTTTACTTCCACATGCAACCATCCACCTTCCGCTTCTCTTGCTTGCCCGTGTCGCGTGTGGAATGCATGCTGCAGTTACCCAGTTTGGATATTGTGTTCAGTTCTAAACGTTCGGGTGATGAAGAGCCAGCAGGTCAACAGGAACACACTTTAGATAAATCTACATCGGAAAAGGACAAAAAGCCGACAGGTGGCTTGAGGTAAGCTTTTTGTCTAACTATGTCTAAAGTATTTATTTCCACTTGTTTATAGTGTTACCGGATGTCTGGCGGATTTCAATGTCTACATCTTCCATCCTTACGGTGGCAAAAAGACCAATGTAAAAGAGGCGCAGTTTTCACCACTCTCGGATAGCGAGCGGAAGGATTCGTTGAGCATAAATGTGGAATTTGTGAAGTTCCAATTAACACGTTGCCGCAAGATTTACGTCGAGCCCGCTGTGATGAGCAAACGTTCTGTGGATCAATCGCGCGCAGTCATAAGGTTTTCTACTATTGTTGACATTGGCAGCGCTTCATTTAAATATGACATGCGTCGCCTAACCGAAATTCTCGCCTTTCCAAAAGCTTGGTATCGTCGGCGCATAGTACGACGACTCTTTCTTGGCGATTTGAGCATGCAACATATGGCCGGCACAGAGCCTGCCACACCCACTGGCACACCATCTACACCCAAGGAAGCTTTCAAGATGCCCGGTTACGAGTGTACCAAGTCACCGGCAGAGGCATTTTACGGCAAGGATAAAATGCGTTTGGACTTCGACTCGCAATCATCACCACCGCAGCAGGCACCACACTCGGGCGCGGTACGCAAGTTACGCACATTAGGTAAGTCCTCCAGCGCAGACTCGTCAAGCACACCTCCTTCGGAGAAGAACCAGATAACCGCTTGGGAAACGCTCGTACTATTTGCGGTGAATTTCACCAAATTGAATGTACAGATGAATATGGGCAACGTAATGGGTAATGTGGTGTGGCTAACCAAAGATTTCCAGTCGGATGGCAGGCTCTCTATTGGCAGTACTGGCTACAAAAATATGTACATTGGCATATATCTAGGTGGATCTTCACTGGACGCCAAAGGCGGCATAGTCGGTGGTAGCTTTGAAGTGAATAAAATCAATACGCGATTTCATATTAAGGAGGAATCCGGTGTGGAACCTTACCATACCATACGTTTGAGTTTTATGGCTTTGGAGCTACGCCTCGACTATATGGGTACATCGGTATTAATGATGCGCATTAGTTCGTTTTCGGCAGCGATGAAGGACGAATGGAAGACCTCTATAAATGCGTTGTCCACCACAGACTATGGCGGCAGCGTGATAACTGTAGGTGGCCACACCACCAAACCGCGTGCTATAATCTTCATACATGGCGACTTGTCATGGGATCAGGTGAGGCTAACCGTACTTCTGCAACTTGATTAATTCAAATATTAAATTGATTATCTTTCTTCTCTCATCAGCTGCAAATAATGATTTCGCAATCGACCACTGCTGACTTACTGAAGATGTATTACAAGCTGGAAGAATTTTTCACGCAACAATTCAAATCGTCGAAACGCGTATTTTCCAGTCTCGAGCCGCGCCTGCACGAGCGCAACGCCAGCATGAAACGACGTCAGAATCGCGACAAAAAGAAGGCGACAACCAACGGTACCGTTGATACCGCCGCCGCCGCCAATGCGGCTGACATCAGCAACACAGATGCACGCCATCACCGTCATTGGCAAAAGCCGCTCGAGCAGGCCATCGGTCTCGTGGTACCCACTTTGGTGACACGTCTGCCACGCAACGGCAATGTGCTCGGTGGCACTGTGGAACTGCATGGCAACAACATCTCATTAGCCTGCTTCCATGGCTTAAACTTCAAGTCGAAGTCGTGGGCACTGTTTAGTTTGAAATCACCCTCCATCAATTTCGCCACAGAAGCGCATCAGGCACATGACACACATGATGTCTTCGTAACGCAGACGCTCACTTCTTGCTTGGGACAGACCACTGAGGTGCAACAGCAAAACCACTCCATGGCAATTGTCAGCAGAATTTCACGTACCATCATCTTCCCACCACAATTCAAAACGCTCAACGAGTGGTTCCACTACGCGTTCGCTAACAGTGAAATTGATTGTGAGTTATTGTAAAAACTCATTAAAATATTACTTGTAAGAACATTTTTGATTCTATATTTCCATGTGACAGCTGTAGATCGTTTTCCGATATTGGAACGTGATCGTGAAATTGCCTCCAACTCCATCGAGCGAACACGTGCCGCAGGTGCCAGTGCAAGCAATACTTCAAAGACGCAGGAGCACAATCACAATCGGGAGGTGATATTTGCATTGCCCAGCTTGCAACTGAATTTCAAGACTGAACACAGACAAGGAGCATCCACACCGGAACCCACAGGTAAATGAATATGGGAAGCAAATATGCGCGCAAATCACAATTCATATTCATATCCTCCCACAGAAACTAAGCCAGAGGTGCTCTGCAGTTTCATAACCGAGTTTGATGACCATATTTTCGTGACTGTAGATGCAGATGCCTTCTTCTTCCTGCATGATTTGATAACTTCGTATGTTAAGGAGAAGGAGAGAGTGGTAGGCTAGCATAGATTTAGCATTACATCGAAAATTGCTAACCATATCTACTTTATTTTATTAGCAGATCGGTGGACAGTCGGTACGTGCTGCCTCGCCAAATCTTTCACAGAATCTAAAGAGTCAACTGAAACCATATGTAACCGACGAAATACTCAAAGATGCCAATATGGCATCCTCGTCTTCCGCGAGTAATAATTCCTCTACGAATGCTGTTACGATCAGTAACACGTCTATTAACGCTTCGAGCACTACATTGGATCAGAGCAGCAGCAGCTTGAATGCCAACAGCAACAGCAAAACGAATATAGCTTCCGCTTTTAATGTGGAAAAGAAGGATGGCAACATACTAGCGTCGCCAACGCCGTCAACATCAGCCGCCGCAGCCACAACTCTGACATCACCCACTGGCAGTAACTCTGGCACGACAACGTCCGCAACGTTAAATGGCCCCGGCATAAATGGTAAATCTATAGATTTGGAGTCATTTGTGCGCGACTGGCGACATTTTGAGTGCCAGACTTGGCATCTGGAACCGACTGTGCGGCTGCTTTCGTGGGCTGGCAAATCCATTGAGCCATACGGCATTGACTACATATTGAATAAGCTCGGTTTCGCGCACGCGCGCACTACCATCCCTAAGTGGCTGCAGCGCGGCTTCATGGACCCGCTAGATAAGGTGCAAGCGCTCATGATGCTACAACTGCTGACAATGGTGCGTGAAAATAAAGTGGAGAACTCGCCAAAATCGAAAACGTCAAACTAATTTACTCTAACTTAAATATAATTAATTGCAATTTAGGCATTGTTTATAGCGAAATAGGTTAAATTTGAATGAATGGACTTAAGACGATATAGCAGGATTTATAAACGCTATTTAATGTTTGGTGTGATGCATTATCGGCAGCGCTTAGTAGGTGCTTGTGTGAGCGGCGTTTCACCATTACGTAATTATGTAAATTATGCAATACTCGAAGTATTATTGAAAGTGTAATATTTTTCTTAATCATTTTCGTATATTTCTTATTTTGTTGAAAGTTGGTAGAAAGTTAAGCGAATTGTTGATTATTTTTTCCAAAACTGGAATGTGGACGTAAAATTTTAATGCAATTACAGCTAATTGATAGTAATTAATAAATATACATGTGTCATTAAATAAAATAAATAAACCAATATCTGCTTATGCATGTGACAAATACATACTGTATTTACAATGCATTTCAATAAATAAATTAAACGAAAAACAGAATTTTTCGTTTTTATACCCTGAACAGCGTGGTTTGTAACAGCCGGAAGAAAACGTCGGTGACTCTATGAAATATACTATATGAATGACCTACGAGACGAGCTGAGTCAATTTAGCTCTGTCCGTCTGTATACGTGAACTAGTCCCTCAGTTTTTGAGATGCTTATCTGAAATTTTACACACGCCCTTTTATCTCGTAAAAGTTGCTAATTTGTCGGAATCGTTGTTATCGAATCAATATAGCATATAGCTGTTATACGAACTGATCGATACAAAGTGATATCTCCATTAAATTTAGCATGTATGTAATTTGTTCAACGGTACAATCTCAAAAGAAATTGTTCAGATCGAACAGCTATGTATGGCTGCTATGTATGGCTGCTATATATAAAGTGGCTGATCAAAATCAAGTTTGAGATGGATTTTTTTTTTTTTGTGAAGGGTATTATAGATTCTGTGCATCCGGAGTTAATGTGTTTTCTTGTTTTAAACAAATTTTAAATTCAAAGTTTTCTTAAATAACTTACTTTGCGATGACAGGTGGATAAATAAGCAGATGGAAAACCGATGTCGATTCCCCTCATTTTCACAACCTTTACTTTGACCTTGACCTTTAAAAACACTACAGTAATAATACATAGACACGAACAAGCACAAAATGATATTTTTTAAAATATTCCTTATTCCTATTCGAATTCGAATTTGCTCACTTTTGGTATCAATCTCACTGTTGCCTATTCTGCCCAAACAATTGAAGCTGTAATCATCAGAAGGCTTCAGAACATAATTGAAGAAAAGAGCCTTACAACAATTCATCAATTTGACCTCAACATTCCACAATCGATCAGGTTCATTGAATAACGAGCATAATCGAAAATGCAATGAAAAAACCGCAATTTCACAGCTGTTTTTCTTGACGTATCCCAGGCATTCGATAGGGTATGTCAACTTAGTTTACTTCATAAATTAAGACTTCACTTTCCACGGTATCTAACCGACCTAGTTGCCTTTTACCTGAGCAACCGCTACTTCAGAATCAATCAGGGACTATCATATACCACGTTACAGCCATTATAAATACGTGTACCCCATGGAAGTGACCTGGGAGTACTGTTATACATTTTGTAAAAAAACCAAACTGCGCAATTATCACATTTTCAGATGATACTTGTAACTTTACGACCGGCAAAAATGAAGTTGAGTCGTCGCAATCAAATCAAATTGTAGATGGACACAGAAACATCACTTTAAACGATTTATATATCCATATAAATTTCATTAAGAAAAAAGCTTCGTAGGGGATATACATATTGGGAACGAATCCCGTACTCCACCTCGGCGAAATAACATGATATGACGTTGGATGCAAAGTAGAATTGGATAGAGCATATACAAAAAAAGATTCAGAACTAAAACTAAAATATAACAAAATAATCTATTTGATCGGCAAGAAATGACCTTAAACAATATCAAATAAAATCTTAGTCTACAATCAAACATTAAAACCCATTTGGACAGCCGGAATTCAATGGGGATGTGCTACACCGTTATACATTGAAGCGGTGCAAAGATTTCAAAATAAATAGCATCGAGACCTGTAAAAAGGTTTCAAAGTCATGTAAACGCTGAAGCCCGACAACTAGGGGGGATTAGAAATAGTAGGCGCAGATCAAAAAGAACAACGTTTTATAACCTAATAAGAATCTAAGAAAATAACAAATATCATGATATTTAGTTATAACTATTATAGCAATATCATGTTGCAAACAAGAAAAAACGTTATCTTGCAGCAAAAATACATAATATGTATGTATGTATATTATAATGCTCCTCATAAATAAAAATGCTTTCGAACAAGAACCAAAAGAAATAGCAAATCTGTGCTGAATCTCGCATCCACTCTGCGGTATCTAAAATCGATTAACGGTTCGGACGGTTTTAATTAAAACAAGAAAGAACGTTATAACTAATATACCCTTCACAGGTGTCTTTCTTTTAGTAACTATGTGTTTAAGTAAATCTAAAGACGTAACTGGCCAGTGGTTTTCACTCAAAGGAAAACATTTTACCAATTCTTTTTAGCCAGGTTGTGTGCTAGAAACATTAAGGTTATTTAATAAAGAAAATACATATAACTTTTAGATGTTTATAGTTATTTAAAACTAGCTCACCCCCGTTGTGCTGCGTGAAATTATGTGTTTTGAAATGAAATGAAAGTTGAATTTATCATTTCCTTTTTTTTCAATGTAAAGTTGCTTGATAAACCACATTTTTCGGTTTCTGTTTCGGTGTACAGAAAAGATGGTTTTCAAACTCGTGAGCACGCCACATATATCTGACCGTGTGAAAAACATAGCACTTCCAAACTTGGCAAACCAAGTTGTGTCCTGTTGATCGTCACCTCAAATGCAATTTTCACTGGAAGCGGTGTACGTTTGAACTGAAATGGCAAATCATTGGAACTCAAAGGTATTCGTAGAATCAAGCATTCTGTTCACTTGTATTCGATAGGTGCGTCACAATCAGTCGGATTCCATTACACAGTTTCGGTGCATGAAGATTCTTCTTCTTGATTGACGTAGACACCGCTTACGCGATTATAGCCGAGTTAACAACAGCGCGCCAGTCGTTTCTTCTTTTCGCTACGTGGCGCCAATTAGAGATTCCAAGTGAAGCCAGGTCCTTCTCCACTTGGTCCTTCCAACGGAGTGGAGGTCTTCTTCTTCCTCTGCTTCCCCCGGCGGGTACAGCGTCGAATACTTTCAGACCTGGAGTATTTTCATCCATTCGGACAAGATGACCTAGTCAGCGTAGCCGCTGTTTTTAATTCGCTGAACTATGGCCAACGCGCAAAGGACCATAAATCTTTCGCAGAACTTTTCTGTCGAAAACTCGCAGCTTCGACTCATCCGTTGTTGTCATCGTCCAAGCCTCTGCACCATATAGCAGGACGAGAATTATGAGTGACTTATAGAGTTTGGTTTTTGTTTGTAGAGAGAGGACTTTGCTTCTCAAATGCCTACTCAACAAATAATAATATATCACAAAAATTAGGAACATATTTATTATATGACTAATTTAACCATATTTTTGCTACTCTTCTTACGTGCCATATATATTCTTGTCTAATAAAAAAATCTTCCATACAAAAATGTATTCCGTAAGTTTATAAAGAAGCTATGTAATTGTAAAAGTCTTGCGGTATTTTCGCTAGTTGGCGCTGAGAGCGCGTAGTTCTAGTTTTATAGTCGCATCGGGTCATGCTATAACCTTTTGGAAAGCTCGCTTCACGCGCTAACACGTATTTGATTGATTGTCGTTTCTTTTAAGTCGTTCGTGAGTTATAGCGTCGCAAACATGGAGCAAAATAAAGAGAAAATGCGGCATATTTTACAGTACTACTACGTTAAAGGCAAAAATGCATCTCAAGCCGCCAATAAAATTTGTGGTGTTTATGGACTCGATACAGTTTCCACTTCCACCGCACAACGATGGTTTCAACGTTTTGATTGCCTCCTTCTGGTGTAGAGGTGGTCGAAGATGCGCAACGCTCCGGAAGGCCTGTCGTCGAAAATTGCGATAAAAAAAAAAGTTTTATGAACAATTGAAAATACAATAAAAATACTACAAGAAATACCGCAAGACTTTTTTGACAACCTAATACATGATATACTCGTAACTGTCTATCTGTAAATATGATTGGGTACTGTATCATTGTCGTAAATATTAATCCATGCGAAAATTCATCAAGCAATTTTTGTGGAAATATTAAGGCGTTTATTACAAAAGAGACATTGTAGAGGTTTTTTATACCTCTGTTATACTTTCAACATACCCATCGAACTATGTTTAGTTCCTACTTACGTAAGTACCTAGGTTTGGTTTTGTACCTATCAGTTAATTATGGGCTTAAAACAGGATAATTATGTTTAACAAATTAGTGTTCTATTATTATGTAATAAAATATGCGAGTGGAAAAAATAGGGATTTAATTATTTTATGGCAAATTAAAACAAAACATTTTTCCTCCTTATTCTTATGTTACGTACTCTTAACATAATTTTCAACTTGTTGTCTAAGGTAGTTACACGTCCTTTACTACTACTACTACTTTTATTGAAAGCTCAAATTGGAAAGTAATTAATATAAATAATACAAATCGGTTATGTTTAGATTATATTATTTGTATAGTGGTTAATTCTGATTACAATAAAAAAAATAATGTAGAATATTAATTAGTTCCGTTACACCTACAAACTACTGCGGAGAAAATTGGTTCGCTATTTAATGAAAAAAGTAACTCATGTAAAATTTTGTGACGATATTTAGCCAAAGTTGCCCATATATGAAGTTAATTTTGATTTTTAGTTTGTATGGCTACGCTGGCCGCGTCCGTCGACGTCCCAGATGCCCCCCCTCGAACCTGCATCAGGCGGCAGCAGCTTCGGCTGTCATAACGAGCAGGTTCTCAACGGAAAAACTGGGCATTCTGCTGATCCAAGAGCCTTGGGTCTACAAAGCAGAGGTCAAAGGCCTCAAGACAGAATTCAATAAGGTAATCTGGGATCTCTTTAGCGAGCGACCTAGAACGTGTATAGTATTCAGGAAAAATATTGAATTTTTCTGTATTTCAGAATTCCATATGATTTGGTGGCGGTACAGGCCAGGGACTCGGAAGGCAAGGACTTCGTCCTGGCATCAGCCTACTACCTAGGGGAGGCATCAACAGCACCCCCTGAAGCAGTGGAGAGGCTGGTGGAGTGCTGCAAGGGGTACAGGCTGTCCCTCATTATCGGTTGCGATGCGAATGCCCACCATGTCGAATGGGGAAGCACGGTATGCAACAGAAGGTACCCACAGACAAGCGCAACTGTCCCTGGTGGACAAGGAAGCTTGCAGACCTCAGGAAGAAGGTACGTAGTCTATTCAACAAAGCAAAACGCACAGGGATCTGGGAAGAGTACAGGAGCAACCTAACCCTATATAATAAGGAGATTAGGTCTGCTAAACAAGCTAGCTTTAGGAGATTCTGTGAAAACGTCTTCTCCACATCAGAAGCGGCCCGGTTGCACAAGGCTCTGGTTAAAGGGAAGACTGACACAGTGCTAGCGATCAAAAGGAGTTACGGGACATTTACGACTAGCGTGGAGGACAGAGCTACAGAATTTCTGCGGGCACACTTCCCGGAGACTGTTCCGGTAGACCGATGTATACCTATGATTGAACACAGGCCATCCCGCTTTGATTGGGAAATCGCTAAACAATTATCCACTGCAGACTCGATCAGGTGGGCAATAGCTCAAGTCTCCGGGGATGGACGGCATCTTCCCATCGCTTCTACAACAGGGCTAGCAGTCTCTGCTGCCTCACCTGGTTCGGCTGCTGAGGGAGAGCGTCGCAATGGCGTACATCCCGGAATCACCTCAGCCGGCCTCCTTCCTACTAAAAACTATGGAGAAGATCATAGATCATGATATAAGGTCGAACGCGTTGAAGGCTGTACCCCTGCATGCTGCTCAGCATGCATTCAGAGCGGGAAGATCCACCAATACGGCTCTGTACCAGTTGACCCTTGAGATAGAGAGTTCACTGGAGAAAGGCAAAATAATGCTATGCGCCTTCTTGGACATAGAAGGTGCCTCTGACAACACATCTGAGAAGGTGGCAGCACCGGTGCGCAGATGGATAGAGGCCGTACTAGCAGAATCGCTGAGACCACAGTAGGTGGTACAAGGATTCGTCTTGGCACAACAAGAGGCTGCCCACAGGGAGGTGTGCTATCACCACTGCAATGGAGCCTTGTCGTGGACGACCTGTTAGCGTTGCTAACTGATAATGGTGATAAATTTGAGGATACTCTCTGCGACCTGTGAGGTCAATGAGGTCTAAATCTGGAAAAAGAGTGGTGCAGGGGAGTTGAACTAAATATCAACCCCTCAAAGACGGCCGTAGTCCCGTTCACGAGGCGCAGGTCCCTATGACTAGCAACGTGAAATATCTCGGTCTTACGCTGAATTCTACTTTGCGGTGGAAGCAGCATGTAAACCAGACCGTAGTCAAAGCAACAAAGGCATTAATGGTGTGCAATCGGCTGGCGGGGAAATCCTGGGGCTTCAAGCCAAGGATCATGAAGTGAACCCAACTATCGAAGCTTCAGCGGCTGGCCTGTGTCTGCATGACGGGCGCTATGCGCACCTGTCAAACGGCATCCCTGGAGGTCCTGCTGGAACTCACACCGCTTCACATAGTGATCGGTCAAATGCCAAGCACTCACTTCTGCAAATTACAGCAGAGGGATGTGGCAAAGGCAAGGTAATCTCGTCCCAGAAAATGGAGATGATAAGTGGAATATTCCTCCTCCCGAAGGAAAGTACTACCAAAACAATTAATTGCACGAAGGAGTTTAAGGTTACCCTCGGCAGCAAGAATGAGTGGAACGACTCCACTCTAGAGCTAATGCTGAGGGATATCACATTGAAGTGGTACACCGACGCCTCGAAAACGTCGGAAGGAATTGATGCAGGGAGCGCAGGTCCACGTACCAAGTCTCAATACCATTGGGAAGCTTCCCGATAAATTTTCAGGCCGAAGTCTTGGCCATTAGTCGGTGCATAGAGTTAAACCTACATCGCAAGCATCGCAACGAGCGAATAATTCTAACTAAATATTCTAACTATTCTTAGCGATAGTCAAGCGGCACTAAAAGCGATCTCCTCTTATGAGATCAAATCGCTACTAGTGCAGGAGTGTAGAGAACGGTTTAACAGTCTAGCTGAAAAGAACCAGGTGCACCTAATATGGGTGCCTGGTCATAGAGACATAGCCGGCAACGAACTGGCTGACGAGCTCGCCCGCTGCGCAGCCTCCACCAATGTGGTAGGGCCAGAAGTTGCTAATTTGGGGTACAACCAGAACGGGTTCAAATCGATAATTAACCTCCCAAGAGACAAACTCAGGCTTCTGGTCGCATTCTACACCGGCCACTGCAAGTTGAAAAGGCATTTATTCAATATAGGCCTAACCTCTTGCGCTAACTGCCGGTTTTGCGACAGGGAGCCTGAAGCCCCGGAGATCTGCTAATCGACTACAGTGCAGTCTGCAGACGCAAGTCAAAGGTCCTTCCGGATAGGGACCACATCGCCTCACTAGCACCCAGCGGGATATTGGACTTCATCAATACACTGGGACTAAGTGTGTCCCTGTGAGTTAGGAGAGGGCAAAATAGACCTAAGGTCGCGATGTATTCCTCAATTATTTATTTATCTATCTATCTATATAAACTCATTGGAATAGTTAGGGATGATAAAGTAATTAATGAAAAGAACAGATTTTATGAAGGAAATAGAAATTTGGAAAAGTTTTGTGTTGAAGGTTGAAAATTTCTTAGATAATCATATCGTGAATAAATTGCATAAAATATGATGACAAACTTTCATACTCTAGGAACACACATTACTCATGTGAGACCAAAAAGTTGCGATTTAGCACCATTAGCCTATTTCTTGTTAGAATATTTGTAGTCATTAGTCTTTAGCAATAAACAAGACTCAATATTGAAAGTGCTATTCATGACATACGATTTAATTTAGTGAAAAAGTACTCCAAAATTGGATAAATGGAATTCGTTCATGCGAAAGAAGTAGTGGAAGCATTGATTGATGATATTTGAACTTTTTTTTTCCTACCAGCCAAAAGTGGTGTAAAAACTAGTGAAACACTAAAATAGGGTGAGCTCGCCATAAACCTCGGGCATATTCTAACCAATTTCCCCTCACACGTTCATACATGCGAATATACATCTCTGTTGCGCTCATTCAGCAGTGCCATATAAATAAAATATGTAAAATTAAAGCTCGGCCGATAGCCCATGATGCTAGTGCTGCGTATTTTCTTAAGTTTGTATAATAATTGTATTATTATGTAAGCTTTTATAAAATAAAATAAAAAAAATAAAATAAAAAAAAATTAAAGCTGTACTGTTCTAATTATCCTAATCGTCAGCTGATGCAGGGTTGCATTTTGTTATTCCTACTTTTAAATATTCTAACAAACAATAACTTATTACCTCTTCAATAATACAATTACAATAAAACCATTTATATTAAATAAAATAACATGAAGTTAATGAGTTGTTAAGCGATTCGTATTCGTTTTTTTAACACAATTTTTCTTAATCATAAATTCAAATTTGCGCACATATAAAGGATATCATGAAGAAAAAACATAAATATTTATGTAGTACGCTAAAAATAATTAAGCCACATATTTTACTATACAAATGCATTAAATGCGCAAAATTAATCAGATAAATCAAAAAAAACATCACTTCTTCTTATACTACGCCTAATATGTTTATATCTATTGTGACTTAAAGCTACATAACGCCTTATAATTGAAGTTTTATTAATGTCCATACTTGGAAATGCAGCTATTTAGTAAATATAAAACATTAATAATTAAATAAGTGATCATGTCAAAATATTTTAATATTTACCGAGAGTGATACCCACTATTTTTAATTTTGTTAATGCCCTTTTGCCCGCCTTTCCATCGCAGTTATACAACCATATCAACTCGTCGCTAAATAGTGACCGCAACACCATTTCAATCGACCCCTTAATAGATTTTAGGTTGAGGATGATCGCCACCTATAAATGTATAATTATCAATACATATTCATATTTACATAGTAGAATGATAAACTTACCATAGCGTCAGCGTAAGCTTTGTTTGTAAGGTGCTCCTCCACCTTCAACACTGTTTCTTCTGACGACATGGGGAGCAAGCTTAGTAATAGAAGCTGTTCCTCACTCACCATGTAGCCAGTGATGCGACTTACGCTGCGGTGGTTTTTTTCTGAGAGCACCTCACATTCCCGCAGCAATTGGCTTTCCGCTTGCACCTCAGCACCTTCGGGCATCTGAAATTTAAAATAAGTATGAAATAATTTTAAAATATAATTTTATTTCAATAAATACCTTTTCAGTAAGTTCCACATTAAGCTGTTCCTCATCCACCACATCGCCAGTGATGCGGCTTACACTGCGGTGAGTTTTTACTGGCACCTTACATTCCCGCAATAATGGGCTTCGCGCTTGCACCTCAGCATTTTCGGGTTTCTGAAATTTAAAATAAGTATGAAATAATTTTAAAATATAATTTTATTTCAAAAATTCCTTTTCAGTAAGAGCATTTTCCACATTAAGCTGCTCGTCATCCACCACATCGCCAGTGATACGGCTTACACTGCGGTGAGTTTTTACTGGGGGCACCTTACATTCCTGCAGCAATTGGCTTCGCGCTTGCACCTCAGCACTTTCGGGTTTCTGAAATTTAAAATAAGTATGAAATCATTTTAAAATACAATTATATTTCAAAAAATACCTTTTCAGTAAGAGCATTTTCCACATTAAGCTGCTCGTCATCCACCACATCGCCAGTGATACG